GTGAATCCCTGCAAACGCCATGGCCAGCTGTGGAATGACCTGAGATTGTCAAGAAGGAAATCCGGTTCAGCATAAGTTAGTTACCTAGGCTGGTTCAAACTTCTAGTCTGGCCCCTAGCAGCTTACATTTGGCATATTTAAGCACATCATACTTTGGAAAAAAGTTTCCTTGTGCCAATGATCACAACAAAGCTCAAGGCATGAGCACATCAAGACTCCTTTGTATAGTGCATGTCTTTTGCAAAGTACCTGTGACTTCTTCCATAAGAATGCGCTGTGGGGCTGGAGAGATGGCTCAGCAGTTAAGAGCACTGGCCACAAACTGAATCCAAGAACACATCAAAAAAATTATCCATCATGACCAGGTAGGTTTTCATCCCAGGGATGCAAGGATGGTTCAACATACGAAAGTCCGTCAATGTAATACACCATATAAACAAACTGAAAGAAAAATAAAAAAACCACATGATCATCTCATTAGATGCTGAAAAAGCCTTTGACAAAATCCAACACCCCTTCATGATAAAGGTCCTAGAGAGATCAGGAATACAAGGAACATTCCTAAACATAATAAAGGCAATTTACAGAAAGCCAACAGCCAACATTAAATTAAACGGAGAGAAACTCAAAGCGATTCCACTAAAATCAGGAACAAGACAAGGCTGTCCACTCTCTCCATACTTATTCAATACAGTACTTGAAGTTCTCGCTAGAGCAATAAGACAACAAAAGGAGATCAAGGGGATAAAAATTGGAAAGGAAGAAGTCAAACTTTCACTATTTGCAGATATGACAGTATACATAAGTGACCCCAAAAATTCTACCAGGGAACTCCTACAGCTGATAAACTCCTTCAGTAAAGTGGCAGGATACAAGATCAACTCAAAAAAATCAGTAGCCCTCCTATACACAAATGATAAAAGGGACGAGAAAGAAGTCAGAAACATCACCCTTTACAATAGCCACAAATAACATAAAATACCTTGGGATAACACTAACTAAACAAGTGAAGGACCTGTTTGATAAGAACTTTAAGTCTCTAAAGAAAGAAATTGAAGAAGATCTCAGAAAATGAAAGGATCTCCCATGCTCGTGGATAGGTAGGATTAACATAGTAAAAATGGCAATCTTACCAAAAGCAATCTACAAATTCAATGCAATCCCCATCAAAATCCCAACACAATTCTACACAGACTTGCAAAGAACAATACTCAACTTCATATGGAAAAACAAAAGACCCAGGATAGCTAAAAGAATCCTGTATAATAAAGCAACCTCTGGAGGCATCACCATCCCTGACCTCAAGCTCTACTATAGAGCTACAGTAATAAAAACAGCTTGGTACTGGCATAAAATTCAACTTACAGACCAATGGAATCGAATTGAAGACCCTGACATTAATCCACACACATATGAACACCTGATTTTTGACAAAGAAGCCAAAACTATACAATGGAAAAAGAAAGTATCTTCAACGAATGGTGCTGGCATAACTGGATGTCAACATGTAAAAGATTACAAATAGATCTATATCTATCACCATGCACAAAACTCAAGTCCAGTGGATCAAAGACCTCAACATAAATCCAGTTACACTGAACTTGATAGAAGAGAAAGTAGGAAGTGCTCTTGAATGCATTGGCACAGGAGATCACTTCCTAAATAAAACACCAGTAGCACAGACACTGAGAACAACAATTAATAAATGGGACCTCTTGAAACTGAGAAGCTTTTGTAGGGCAAAAGACATAGTCAATAAGACAAAAAGACAGCCTACAGAATGGGAAAAGACCTTCACTAACCCCACATCTGACAGAGGACTGATCTCCAAAGTATATAAAGAACTCAAGAAACTAGACATCAAAATACTGAACAATCCAATTAAAAAATGGGCTAAAGAGCTAAACAGAGAATTCTCAAAAGAAGAATCTCAAATGGCTGAAAGACATTTAAGGAAATGCTCAGCATCCTTAGTCATCAGAGAAATGCAAATCAAAATGACTCTGAGATACCACCTTACACCTGTCAGAATGGCTATGATCAAAAACACTAATGACAGTCTATGTTAGAGAGGATGAGGAGCAAAGGGAACACTCCTCCACTGTGGTGGGAATGCAAACTTGTACAACCACTGTGGAAATCGGTATGGCGGTTTCTCAGAAAATTGGGAACCGATCTACCTCAAGACCCAGCCATACCACTCTTGGGCATATACCCAAGGAATGCTCAATCATACCACAAAGATACATGCTCAACTATGTTCATAGCAGCATTATTCGTAATAGCCAGAACCTGGAAACAACCTAGATGCCCGTCAACTGAAGAATGGATTAAGAAAATGTGGTACATATAAACAATGGAGTACTACTCAGCAGAGAAAAACAATGACAGCATGAAATTCGCAGGCAAATGGATGGAACTGGAAAATATCATCCTGAGTGAGGTAACCCAGACCCAGAAGGACAAACATGGTGTGTACTCACTCATAAGTGGATACTAGATATAAAGCAAAGAACAATCAGACTGCAGCCCACAGATCCAGGGAGGCTACACAGCAGGGAAACCCTAGGATGACGGTGGCTTATAATAAGTTTTGGTTTTACCCAATCACTGGACAAGCCTCAGTGAAACATTTCACTATTAGGATAAGAATTTAGACTGTATCAAGCTGATAATAGAAAAAAAAATAAAACTAAAAAAAAATCTTAAAAAAAAAAAAGAGCACTGGCCACTCTTCCAGAGGACCTGGGTTCAATTCCCAGCACCCACATGGCAGCTCACAACTGTCTGTAACTCCAGTTCCAGGAGATCTGACACCCCCACACAGATATACATATATAAAAGAATGGGCTCCATTGACTAATGATGCTCAGGATAAGGGTCTGGACTAAGCATCATATAGACTGTTTTGCACAGTACTGGGACCTCTTTCATAGGAATGTTTTCTATTGTTTCAGGAGTCTGGGAGATTTGGGGGAGGCCTGGTTCTGTAAACAGCATCCACGCCAGCCTTCTGGGTGAAGTCCCTCTGTGGAAGAGAAAAGCCTGTGTGTATAACATTCCTGCATTCTCCGGTGCTCATCTGTGAGCAGAGGCAGATGTGTGTGTGTGTGTGTGTGTGTGTGTGTGTGTGTGTGTGTGTGTGTGTGTGTGTGTTTCCTTTATACCTCAGGCTGCGCGGCAGGGCAGTCTCCTGCTACAAACCATTTCCATTTCCTCAGTGCTGTGGATGTTCTGTGGGACTCCTCATTCCTTGGGTCTCCTCTATAAACAAACGTAACCTGCTTTATGTGTATCTGTGGTCATGCCTGTAACTCCCCTCCCCTTTTTTCCTGCCTCTTTCTTTTTTTCTTTTGGATGCTGGCTAGAGCTTCCGTATGTTTCTCTGGTACTTTGGGTGTTTCCACTCTTCCTCTGAAACTTGAACCCAACCTCATCCTCTTCACTTTCTGCTGTGTGGCCGCATGCGCACAGCACGCACACCCCCCCACGTCCCCCCCATGCACCGCTCTCTCTCCTCCCCCCCCCACACCCCCTAGCTGCTGGGACTTACAACTTGCCCGCCTTGGTGCTTTCTTTTAACTCTAACAAGATTGTCCTCAAGATGAAGAAACAAAACAAAACCCAAACCAACCAGCCTCAACAAAACAAAAGGAAACCAACCTCCCATAAAAGCAAAACTAAAAAAGCCATTCTTAATGTTTTTGATTCATACTCGATGTGTAAACATTATCCATTTGTAGGGGGAAAAATGTGAAAAGTTCCAGTCTTTATCAATTAGAGAGTTAATTGCCAGATAATGGATGTAAGAGAGGACCTACTCAGAAAAACAGATCCATGTCACAATATCTATAATAAATTAAATTACAGTGGCAAAATGTGGCATGTGGTAGATCATATGGCATTAAACCAATTGGGCTTCTTGTCTCCCTGGAGACACACAGGACAGAAAACAGCTGAGGTGACGTAAGTGGGTCATGAGCATATTTCCTCTCTATCTCAGAAGTAGGGAGCAGGGTGGTGGTGTGCATTAGTCTGCTTTGTGTTGCTGTGACAAACATCACCGGGAAAAGAAACCTGGGGAGGAAAGGGTTTATTTTACCACCTTACAGCTTACAGTCCACTATGAGGGGACATCAGGCCAGGAACCTGGAGGCAGGACCTGAAGCAGAGGCCATGGACAAACACTGACTCACTCTCTTACTGAGTTGCTTTCTATGGCTTGCTCAGCTGGCTCTTTTATGTAACCCATGACCACCTGCCCAGGGCTGGCACTGCTTGCAGTGAGCTGGGCCTTTGCACATCAATCATAATGAAGAAAATGTCCTACAGACATGCCTCCAGGCCAATGTAATGATGGAGGCATTTTCTTAATTGAGGTTCTTCACATAGAACTCTAGTTTGCCTCAAGTTGACATAACAACAAAACCCACCCAGGACGTGGTAGGGACAGCAGCAGTCAGTCTCCTTTGTTTCTGTGTAAGTGGGCCAGAAGAAGCAGAGAATTTGCATTCCTATCTAATAGGTTTTCTGCCTCTCAATAATAAGTTTCTCTGCTGACCAGTAGGCCAGATCAAGCTGAACTGAAACAGTATAACAACAGGTTTGAGCAAAGCAACTCCCAGGCAAGTTCTCTAGCCCCAGAGATTGAAGCTGGAGAAGCTACACCCCTGAGCTAAAGCAGGGCTACTTTATAGGTTGTAGGTAAGGGATGATGCCGGGTCTGCCACAAGCTAGGTTTGTGTCCAAGTATGGTCAAAAACTGACCACTTAGGCGGGGGCGGGGGGGGGGGGGGTTTGGGCTGCTGGAGGCAACGGGGGAGGAAGTTGTGATAATCGTCAAGAAGGCCTAACTGGGCTTTCTGGTGCCCTGGGCTTTCTGGTGCCTTTATTCCTTGGAGATTCTCTGAGTGGGAGGCAAGGTTTGGAGGGGGGGGGGGGGGAGAGAGAGAGAGAGAGAGAGAGAGAGAGAGAGAGAGAGAGAGAGAGAGAGAGGAATGGGGCTTTCCAGATCGTGCAGGAGCAAGCTGGAGGTTCCAACCGAACATTATCTCTGGGAATTCTGCCCGATGAGAAAGCTGCCAGCTCTGACAAAAATGATCCCAAGGGGCACTGAGGAAATGGCTGTGGGTAAAATGCCGTGCAGGCACAAGGACCAGAGGACTGGAGGAGTTCCATGGAAAAGCTGGGCATGTTGTCGCTGCATTAGGAAGGTTGAGAACCCCTGGACAGGCAGAAGTTTCAGTGAGGCCAGTTGATCCCGGGAAGGGGCTGTCGTTGTCAGGGTGATTCTGTCAGGACAGGTGTCCCGGGGTGACTGGATGGCTCCTTTTCTGGGTCGCTGTGGAAAAAAAAAAAAAAAAAAAAAGGTACTAGAAAATGGTTTGTAGGACTTTTAAGTCTCCCTCTTCTAGGGCTAAGGGCAAGAAGTTCTGGAGAGACAGGGACTGATACACAGGTTCTAAAGGGGCTGTAAGGGGCTTAGTCTAGCCCCGCCCACCTCCCGGAGACCCAGCTGAGGGCTTTTTGATTGTTTTAATAGGGCTTCACTCTATAGCCTGGCCTGGAACTCCCCATCTCCCTGCCTCAGCCTCTCTGTGCTGGGATTATAGGCGTGATCCATCACGTCAGACTCCAATGTGTTTTAAGACTAGAGGCTCCCGCCCCACATACTAAGTCAAACCCAAGCCTTGCCCACACTAGCAAGTGTTCGGCCTCTAAGCTACACCCCCCAGTCCCTGAGTTGGGCTTTTTTTTTTTTTTCCTTCCTTTGTGGTTTCTGGTGAATCTGGCAAATACTTGCTCCTTTTATCTGTTGAGGGACAGAAGAGACCAGAGCAATCTGCCTCCTGTGAAAGGAGTCTGGCCTTTTCTGTTTGGCAAAAGGCCATAGGGAAAGATACACCAAGGAAACAGGGTCACAGTCTACGCCTGATCCCCTGTGCTCCAGCCCGGATGTTTGACCGAGTCTCTCTTCTTTCTTATTAACTGCAAAATAAAAGGCCTCGGGGGCTACATGTAGCACTGGAAGAGAGGCCTGGATTGGATTTATGTCTACGCCAGACATCGTGCTTCTAGAGGCAAGTAGTCGTCATGGTTATTTTCAGAATGTTGTGAGAATTTGTTCAGTAAGCTTATGTGTGTCACGGACAGACTTTTCAAAGTGGAAATTATGGGGCTGGGGGTGCAGCTCAATGGTAGAATGCTTGCCTAGCGAGTCCAAGGTCTCGGTAATAGGTTCCCTGCCCCATCCCCATAATAGGTTTCTCCACTGATGCAGTAGGCCAGATCAAGCCGAATGGAAAAAGTATAACAACATGTGTATTTGAACAATGCAACTCCTGGGCAGGTCCTCAGGTCCCAGAGATAAGGGCTGGAGGAGTTGTGCCCCCAGATGAAAGCAGGAAGATTTTATAGGTTGTAGGTGAGGGGTGATGATGTATCAACCACAAGGTGGGGGGTGTGCCCAAGTATGGTCAAAGGCTGACCGCTTAGGCCGGGACTTGGGCGGCTGGCAACTTCAGAGGAGGAAGCTGCGGTAGCCACCAAGAACTCAGAACTGGGCCTTTTGGTGCCTTTCCTTTGTTGGAGACTGTCTGAGTAGGCAGGGTTTGGAGTGGGAGTGTGGAGACCCAAATTACTCAGGGTCAGAGAATCTGAGCTTGCTCTATCCCGCAGGACTGCTTAAGGGGATGATTTGACCATGGGTGTGGTTACCAGGTGTTTGGAAGGGTCTATACTTGGCTGTATGGTGTGCTTTGATCTAGTAAGGGGGCGGTCTTTTGCCCTACCCCTTGGCATGTTATAAAAAGCCTTTTGAATAAGGAAAAGGCCCTTGGGTTTTGACCTGGGTCCTCCCGAAGCTATCCAGTGTTTCTATCTCCTCTTCACTATCTTTCTATCTAAAAGTTTCTCTTTTTTTTGTTTTTTCAGGACAGGGTTTCTACTTGTAGTTTTGGTGCCTGTCCTAGATCTCACTCTGTAGCCCAGGCTGGCCTCGAACTCACAGAGATCCGCCTGGCTCTGCCTCCTGAGTGCTGGGATTAAAGGCGTGTGCCACCGCCACCCGGCTCTATCTAAAAGTTTCTTATCCCTCTCTCCTCCTCATAGGAACCCTGGAAAAGGTGGGAGCTGGCCTCCCACATGGGACAGAGAGAGGAATGGGGCTTCTCGGATCATGCAGGGGTGAGCTAGAGGTTCCAAACAAACACTTGGGTTTGGTCCTCAGCACTGGAAAAAGAAATGAAAGAGACATGAAACTCTCATTGGCAGAGAAGGAATCACGCCCAGGCTTGGCCTTGTGGTGGTGGGAGTGAACCACTCAAGGGGGCTGTGATTTTCATGGTTCAGGCCAATTGGAGTTATATTTGTAGGAAACCACACAATTAAGTGAAATGCATTGTTAATTGTGTGTGTGTGTGTGTGTGTGTGTGTGTGTGTGATATTTATTTATGGGTTTTTTGAGACAGGGTCTCTCTATGTTGTCCTCACCATTATTGGAACTCTCTATGTAGACCAGGCTGACTTCGAACCAAGAGATCTGCTTGCCTGTGCTTCCTGAGTGCTGGAATAAAAGACGTGCATGAGGAGTCAGGGCAGGAGCCTGGAGGAGGAACAGAAGCAGAGATCATGGAGGAAGGCTACTTAGCAGTGGACTGACTTGCTCTCATAGTTTTCTTCAGCCTGTTTTCTTATCAATCCTGGACCGCCTACCCAAGGGTGGTCCCATCCACAATAGGCTAAGTCTTCCTACATCAATCATTAATCAGGGTGATGTCTCTCAGGCTCGCCTACAGGCTAACCTGATGGGGAGAAACCCCTCATCTCAGATGACTAGCTTGTTTCAAGTTGACAAAAAAACCACAGAAACACCTGTGGCCCGGCTGGCTGCCTTGGGCAGCCCTGTGGGGCCTGCTAGGCCTGAGCAGCCGGAACATGGTTCTGAATGGGATCCAGAAGTCACTGACTGACTCACAGAGGGCTCCTCCTGCTCAGTGTTCTGCAGGACCCGTGGGGGATGGCTAATGACAGTGCTACCAAGGAGGTGATTTTTCCTGACCATCCACTTCCCTACAGACCATCTGTTCAAGCCCCCAAAGGGGCTTTCACTACCAATATCTATCACCCTGATATCAACAGCAATGGCAGCCTCTGCCTGGACATCCTGAGGTCACAGTGGTCCCCAGCATTGACTGTGTCCAAAGGTAGAGACGCTGACGTGTACATGAGAGGTACTCATGCCAGTCTTATGCACTTTTACCCCCTTGCTGGCTAGTGTACAAGAAAGTCCAGGAAGAACAGCTGGCTTCCTCAGATCACAGAGCCCCGCCCAGCTGTGCCACCTCAGTCTCTAGATGTAAGGAGATGGCGTGGAAAACACAGCACCTGTGCCCTAGCTGTGCTCAGCGGTCAGAACTGCCGAATGGGTACAAGAGGGTAGTGCCAGCTCTACTTAACATCTTCACCAGAAGTCAAAAGGCAGATACTCAACTTCTCTTCCTTCCTTCCTTCATCCAAGGAGGACCAGCACACACACACCCCAACAACACCCCCCCCAAACACACACACACACACACACACACACACACACACACACACACACACATACACTCTGCCTGAGCTCTACAGAGGTTGGATTCACTGCCACCTTAAGGCCAGGCCAGGCCCAAGGGCTAGAAGTGAGCCAAGAACTTCCTGCCTGAGTGTCACACACAGATCTTATCCCAAGAAGATAAGATATGGAGTGAAACTACTTTAAACAAACATTTCTGAGCAGGGTTAGGCTGGGTTAGAAACAGATCAGACAAATGTGTTTAGCATAACATACAAGGGCTCAGATTTGGTATCAAGAGCTTTGGCAAGTGGTCCTCTGCGAACACCTGCTTCTTGCAAATTCCCGACGGCTTCCCATCGGGTCCTGGAGTCCCACAGCTCCTTTTCTCGAGCCTTCACTTACATGTGACAATTTCCTATGACATGTTTTTCTGTTGTGCTCTGCTCTCGCCTCTCCCTCTTCTGCTTCTGTCTAGATGTCTTCATCAGAGCTGCAAAGAAGGCAGGGGGTGGGGCGGGTCTTTGCCTCTGTGCTTCCTCTCAGAGTCTCGCTTAGTCTGGAGCAAGGTGTAAATGAGTCGGGCACAAGGAAGCTCTCTGGATGGTGCTGATGGGGAGGGGGAGTGATCTGCAGTCGGGAGCTGGCGCTCAGGGTTTTTTTTTGTTTTGTTTTGTTTTGGTGGCGTTTCATTTTCTTTCCTGTGACATGCAGTGTTCCAGGCTGGCAGCATGCTGTGAACAAAGAAAATTGCATTCTCTCATCCCGTTAGATAGGCTGTGAGTTGGCAGAGGCTGAAAGCAAATCATGCACCTGCTTAACCTTTCTGGCATGACAAAGAAGTCCCCCCCCCCCCCCCCCCCCCCCCCCCCCCCCCCCGCCGTCTCTTCCACGGGAAGTGCTCCCAGACCGCACAAGAACAAGACCTAATTAAGTCTTTCCTGGATCCCTCTTTTCTCCAACCTTTCCTTGGGCTTAGGTGTGTAATTAAGAGGACTATCAGGAGACGACATTTTTCCTGATGACAGAAAGGGCTGGATGTAGCTCAATTGGTAGAGTGCTCGCCTGGCATGTACAGTGTGCTGAGTTCAATCCTCAGTGCTAGGGTGAGGTGGGGTTGGGAGTGGGGGTGTGTAGCAGGAATCTTAAAAAGTTCTTATTAATAAAATCAAACCCGGGGCCAGTTATTGGGGTGAAATGCTGGAAGGTCAGAGAGACAGAACAAGCCACAGCTAACCTCACCTGGCCAATTTCTCAGCTGGGCTTTTTTCTTCAGACTGGAAGCCTCTGTGTCCTCATATCCGAATGGCTCTCAGCTGAACTGTGCTGCTAGAAGCCTGAAAGCTTAACCAGCCAAATGCATCTAGTTTCTGGTCCTCAGTCCTTATATACCTTTCTGCTTTCTACCACCACTCCCTGGGATTAAAGGCTGCTTTCTGGGATTAAAGGCGTGAGTCACCATGCATGGCTGTATCCTTGAACACATGGATTTCTGCCTCTGGAATGCTAGGATTAAAGGTGTGAGTGCCACCATTTTCTAGCCTTTGTATCTAGTGGCTGTTTTGTCTCTGACCCCAGATAAGTTTATTAGGGTGCACAATATTTTGGGGAACACAATACCACCACAGGAGTGGGGAGAAACAAACAAATAAAAAAACAAAGAAACAAAATCCGGTATAGGATTCAGCTGGAGAGCCTGGGGTGCAACGAGGTCCCTGACTGGATGCCAAGCACTGGAACAGAAAACCAAGCTGATGGGAAAAAAATTAAGATGCTTTTGATGAAAAAAAAATTGATTGCAATTATAGAACATTTTCTCAGATGTTTTGTTTCTTGTATTTTTGTCATTTTGTCTCTTAGTTAAGAGAATGCTAATGTCTTCCAGTAATATAATTACACTCACATACTCACACACACATGCATACAATTCACACATACTCACACATGCATACACATTCACACATACTCACACATGCATACACATTCACACACACACATGCATACACATTCACACACACACATGCATACACATTCACACATACACACATGCATACACATTCACACTTACATACTCACATGCATTCACACTTACATACTCACATGCATTCACACTTACATACTCACATACTCACACACATAAAGACATTTTGGTTGAGGATAGAACATGTGAACAATGGTGATCCTTGAGGGTTGTATGGCTGAGTGACGTGGTAGTCCTCTTAGTCTGTGTAGGTAGACTCCATTTGTGTGAAGTGTACTTTACAATGTTTGCACAATCATGGACTTGCCCACCAGTGAGTTTCTCAGAACCATCCTTGTCGACCAGCTCCGTCTGTGTACAGTATGCAGATTTGTGTGCTCTGTGTACTCACCCGGACAGAGACTTAAATGATGTATCCTGTATCCAGGAATTTTAAGATCCCCCTCTTTCTCCCAAAGTGTGAGAGGAGAGAGAAGCAGAGACAAAAGACACAAAGAGAGGGTGGGGTCTGTACAAGACAGGGGAGCCCCCTGGGAGGAGTGTAAGCAGATTCTCTCCTGGACCGGACGCACCTGACCTCGGCCCCCAGCATCCCCATGCACTTCCTGCCCTGGCGGGGTGACCTGGGGCCACCGACTTCTCTAAGCTCCAGGTTCGCATCTGTGAAATGGGATGATGGAATCTACCTCATGAGGTGTGGCAAGGGCTAGATGAGGTCACCCCATCGAGTGGCTCCCCATCGACTGTCCTGTGAGTCTGACGTGCCTCTGTGGCTTCTGTCTCGGCACGTGTGTTCTGGCATTTTTCTGTCCACTTTATTCCCGTTCCAGGCCAACTGCAGGCCCCACAAGGGGCTGCTAGTGCGGCTCCTTGGTTGAGTGTTTTTTCCAGCTCCTCCAGGGTGCATTTGCTGGCCAGGCTCAGTCACTCAGTTGCACTTTTTACACCAGTGTAGGGATGTGAGTCTTACACTAAGGCCGATGCCTGGTACCATGCCAGCCCAGCTTGGGAAGGGAAGACAGATGAGTCTTAGGAGAGGGTCTGCAGGGTTCCCTCAGCAGCAGCCTCATCCGCTCTGGCTCTGGCCTACTTTCCTTTTGTAATTCTCACAAGAGGCCAGAAGATGGGGCTCTTGACCCTGAAGTCAAGGGCCAGAGGCTCTGCCTCCACATCTGAACTGAAGGGCTCCTGGAGATCACATCCCTTGCCCTACCCTGCCCTCTCTCACTGTGGCTGAGACCTGTCTTATGGGCGGTGAGGCATTCGGCCACACCCTCCCTTTGGCTGCCCCCTTGGCCTCTCTTGAAGTTCAGTCTAATGAACGCCCTGCTTCAGGGCTGCCCTCTAATCCATCTGGCAGCTTTCTCAAGATCATGCAGCGCACTGTCCAGGAACTCCAGGGTCAGACAGGCTCACCTTGACTCATCTGTCTCACTAGGCTGTCCTCAGCTCCACAAAGAGGCGTCCCCTGTCACGTGACCGGGTTCCTTCTGTCACATAGCCCTGTACTTTCCTTCACGGTGGCTGCCATAACCTACAACAGCCTTGACTTAATTCCTGTCTCCTCTCTAAATTCGAAGTCCCAAGGGTGTAAGCTGTTCTCATTGCTGGTTCCCCTGCTCCAGACACCCAGGGCTGGGTACAGGGGATCTCAGCAAGGCCATTTTAATCAACAAAGGATGATCCAGGCCCTGCCTAATGACTGCCTGATCTAGACATTGTTTAGTTTTTCTGTGACTCAGCTTTCTCGGCAGTGGAACACAGAGAGAATAGAGATGCCATGGCTACTGCCAGGAATGACAGACACATTTTATGTCATTATGTCCTGGTGCATTGGAAGGGCTCCCCAAAACCTTTAGCAGCCTAGTTTTTTATTATACCAGGGAAATGAAGTCTGAACTCATTATCCATCCCCTACAGTTCCCCAAAACCTTTAGCAGCCTAGTTTTTTATTATACAAGGGAAATGCAGTCTGAACTCATTATCCATCCCCCACAGCATGACAAGAGCATTTTATAATGGCAACACTCGCTCCTACTGTTCTTTTCAACGTCACTTTCTGTGTTGGCCCGATTGTGGCTACCCGGCATGCGTTACCACTCTTAAATCCTCGCCCCAGACGTGAGCGCTTGCTTGCTCTCTTCCTTTTGGCTCAATAAAATGTGTGCACACACACACATGCCATGCTGTGCATGTGGAGGCCCGAGGAGAGCTCCCAAGAATCGGTTTTCTTTTTATTTCACGTAGGTTCTGCAGATCAAACTCAGATAATGAGGCTTGGTGACAATGGCCTTTACATACTGGACCTCATTACATTTATAAGGAGATTGAAGTAAATGTACATATATTTGCAATCTCTTAGATGCTCAGCATCCTTTAAGGCTATGCAGAGTACAGAGGCACAAGGAAAAAAAATCAAGACAGGGTTTCTCTGTGTAGCTTTGCACCTTTCCTGGATCTCACTCTGTAGTCCAGGCTGGCCTCGAACTCACAGAGATCCGCCTGGCTCTGCCCACTGAGTGCTGGGATTAAAGGCGTGTGCCACCACTGCCCGGCTTACTTTTGTTTGTGTTGCATTTGTTTAACTCTGTGAAGCTGTGTTACTATGCCTGTGTAAAACACTCCATAGTCTAATAAAGAGCTGAACGGGCCAATAGTGAGGCAAGAGAAAGGATAGGTGGGGCTGGCAGGCAGAGAGGATAAATGAAGGAGAAATCTGGAGAAAAAGAAGAAATAGCCAGAGAAGGAGGAGGACTCCAGGGACCAGCCACCCAGCTACACAGTCAGCAACAGAGGAAGAAACTAAGAAAGGTCTACAGGAATAGAAAAGGAAAAGCCCAGAGGCAAAAGACAGATGAGATAATTTAAGTTAAGGAAAGCTGGCAAGAAACAAGCCAAGCTAAGGCCGGGCATTCATAATTAAGAATAAGCCTCCGTGTGTGTGTGTGTGTGTGTGTGTGTGTGTGTGTGTGTGTTACACACTCCTGTGTGACTCATATGTGAGTACACATTTAGAGGCCAGAGGTCTATGTCAGATGTCTTCCTCAATAGCTCTCCATTTTTTTTTAATGTGCATTAGTGTTTTGCCTGCACGTGTGTCTGTGTACCACATTCATTTCTTGTGCCTGAGGAGGCCAGAAGAGGTGGACGGATTCCCTCACCTGCCATTATGGATGGCTGTGAGCCACCATGTAGGCCCTGGGAACCCAACCCAGGTCCTCTACGAGAGCAACAACTTCTCTTAACTGTTGAGCCATCTCTCCAGCCCTCTCCACCTTGTTTGTTAGGACAGAGTCTCTCACCAGATCTGGAGCTCGTCATGGACTGGTCTGGACTGGTTGGGTAGCAAGCTCCAGAGGCCCTGCTTTCTCTACCTTCCTCAGCAACGCAGATACGGGCTTTTGCCTCCAGATGCAGATTTTCCTCGGGTTCTGGGCATTGGACTCAGGTCCTTACACTTACAAAGAAGAACTTCTTAGACAGAGCCTCTCCCCAGCTCCAGAACTATAGTTTCTTTTCAGGGACATCTAGGCTCCGTCTTGTTTCCATTTTGGGTGATAATACAAAGAATGGTATGCAGAAGTTGATTTTTTTTTTTTTTGAGATAGGATATCACCATGAAGTCCAGGTTGGCCTTGAATTTGCTGCTGGCCTGCCTCGGCCCCTTGAATGCTAGAGGAGAGGCCCGCACCACCCTAGGGTTGAACTTTGGCTTGTCACGTTCCCTTCTGCGGTTCTGGCAGAGGCTGAAACTGATTTGCAGTGGTCCCTTTCCCCCAACAGTGTGGACTCACCTCCAGTCTCAAGTGATAGTGCATATAAGACAAAAGGCCCTTTCTTTCTCTTAAGCCGCGGATGAGTAACTACTTTGTTTTCTTTCAAAACCAGATCAAATCGAACGCATTACTCATCATTTGCAACCTTGCCTCAGATCTGTTAGTTCGGCTGTTAGATAATAATTTGTCTTAAAGTTTTTTTTTTTTTTTTGACAAGTTGAAGTCATCCTCAGCTCAAACTCCACCGTCTGCTGTCAATCTGAGAGGCAAGGGAAGCCTAAGTCTCATAGCCTGTGGAGGGGCCTGACTGTTCCCTGTCTGCTGCTCTTTGACGCTTTTCAATCCGGCCACTAGCTCAAGGGTTAACAAGTAATTTTAGGAGTCCCTCTCTTCTCATCATTGCTTCCTCCTGCCATCTTTGTTTCTGAGGGAGATTTTCTCCTGATTTAAAACCCATCCTCCGAGGAATAAAATCAGGAGAGGCAAACCCGACACTTGCCCAAGAGTCGGGTGCAACTGCAAACAGCGGCAGTTGTGATTTTTCGTTCCTAGCAAGCGGTTGGAAGGACCTCTGAGCCCAGAGAACTACCCCCGCCACCCCCCCCCCAGGGAGGGAGGCGGTTTCCATGGCAACCGGCCCTGGGAGGGGTTGGCTCTCTGGCGCCCTCCTCCCCTCTTTCCGGGTAGCCCAGGGTACCGCCGGACAGCGTCCTCCCGTGCTCCGCGCCCTGATTGGCTGCTCGGGCCGTTCTCTGATTGGCTGCGGCGGGCGCCTCGCCGGCTGGTGGCTATGAAGGTGGCGCCGGTGGATGGTTGACCGTTGGCTTCAGGGTTGGGGGTCGCCGCGTGTGCCATCGGCTCACCCAGGACCAGGGCGCGCGGACTGCTGCAGCTCAAGCTGGAACCCACCGGCGAGCCCAGGCTCCGCCCGGCCATGCCCGCCGCCGGGAGCAACGAGCCGGACGGCGTCCTCAGCTATCAGGTGGGCCCCGCCTCCCGCTCCTCCCCGGCCCAGCCTGGGTCCCCTGCCCACCGCCCGGCTCCGGCTCCTGCCGGGGCTCCAGGCGTGTCCCCCAGGGCCGGGGGAGGCTGGCGTGGGACACCAGGGGGCGCTCCGGCAGCCGGGGAGGGTGACCTTGGGCCGAGTCCGGAGCCGCCGGCACCGCTGCATCCCCTGCGTCGCCTGCTGCCTGGTGTCCCGGAGCAGTGACCTCTGTCCGCGGGTCCCCCTTGGCGGCAGACGCCGGCTTCTGGCCTTGCCTCCTCCTACCGTAGGTGGACGAGAGGGTATCCGGAGACCTTCGCGGGTCATTGTGTTTTTTATTCTGGTTCCTCAGTGGCTCAGAGGAAGCCTTGCAAAGCCCGGGGAGGCTGGGAACAGCTCCTGAGAAGGTGGCCGGCTTTGTGCATCCCCGCCCTGCTGCCCAGACAGCTGATAAGTTATGGATAGGGATGCACATGGACCAGGGAAGCGGTGAGGGGTCAGGAACGACACCACCAGACTTAAGTAGTTGATACTAGAACTGCAGGGGAGGCTAATATTAGGAAGCGTTGGACTAGGTTATATTAAGAGTCTGTGGGTTCAAATCCCAATCTGTTTCTCATAGGTTTCCTGACCTTTTGTGCAAGCCTGCTTGCCCCTTTGAACCTCGGTTTCCCCATCTATTAAAATGGAAATAAATAAAATAGTAATCTTTGTACGGGTTACTTCACAGGGCTGTTTTAAGGACTCGGTCGGTTTATTGCGTGAGTAGTAGCTCTTTGGATTCTCACCCTACCCCACCACCACTTTCTTAAACCCTGATCAGGTGTGATTGCTGCCCTGGAAAGAGGGTTTGAAGGAGGGAAGGGAACCAAGACAAGACCTGTTTCAGGAAGGGTGACGGGACTTGGAAGCAAATGCCATACATGTTGAAATCGGGAGTGAGGTCTGGGAAGAGGCAGGGAGAACTTCCTGAGTGCAGCAAGATGGGTGTGACACTCCCTACCTCTCTTCCAGGCAACAGTCTTTGCTTGCAGTCACAATAAGTAGATCTAAGATTTTGGGGGGATCTTTCCATCTCTGATCTCATGACATGCTATGTTATAGTCAACTTCCGTTTGGGAGCAGAAAGAGGCCACAGTCTTGCCTGTCCCAGCTGGTGGGGAAGGAGGAGAATTAGCTTTTGTTGTTTCGCCTTTGGTGGTCCTGGGGATGGACTGCCTCCTGACTTGCTAGGAAAACACTCTACCGCTGAGCCATATCCCTAGCCTAAAGTAAGAGGGGTGTGTGTGTGTGTGTGTGTGTGTGTGTGTGTGTGTGTGTGTGTGTGTGTCGGCCAGAGTTTGATATCTGGTGTCTATCACTCTACCTTTATTTATTTAGTTTTTTTTTTTTCCAAGACAGGGTCTTTCTGTGTAACTTTGGTGCCTATCCTGGATCTCCCTCTGTAGACCAGGCTGGCCTCGAACTCACAGAGATCCTCCTGGCTCTGTGTCTCGAGTGCTGGCATTAAAGCATGCGTCACCGCTGCCTGGCTACCTTTATTGAAATACATTCTTGCACTGAACCTGGAGCTTGCCGTTTCAGCTGGCCAGTGAGCCCTTGGGATCTGCTTGTCTGTCCCCAGCCCACTCGCGCCTCCTCTGCCCTCCAGTGCTGGGGGCCCAGACAAGCACTGCCATGCTGGGTTCTTACATGGGAGCGGGATCTGAATTCAGGTCTTCATGCTGTGCGACTTTCACCCACGGAGCCTTCTTCATGGCACACAAATACTAATGCTAGGAGCCTGAGGCAGGAGGAACATCTTTTGGGGGTTAAAATAGACTATGTGATGAGACCCTGTCTTAAAAAATGTGCACAAAGGAAATACTTTATTATAAACTTGGGTGCTCTGACAGCTTCTCAGACAGTCCTCTGAGACCGTACATGACTCAGACCACAAGAGATCTTTCTTAGAAGAAAATTGGGGCAAAGGTCTGAAGAATGAAGGAAAGGGGGGGCGGTCAAAGAACTTGGACACAGAGAACAGGATGTGCAGAAGTCCGGTGGCAGATACGGGGCGTGTTCTGCAAGGACAGTGTGGGAGAACCACAGGGGGCCGTGAGGAAATGGTGAGTTGTGTTCCGGGTACATAACGTAGCGAGACACTGTGGCCCCCACCGAGGAACTGATATTTGTGTGAGGACCAAGAGTGGTCATTGGTGAGCTTGAAGCAAATGAGGGGAGGTGAGACCCAAGAGGGCTCAGGAGACATACCACGAGGTCCTGACGAGATTTCCTCTGTTGAAAGATGTCTCTGGTGCTGTGGGCGATGGCACTGGGATGTGAGGAGACCCCGTGTTTAACATGCACAGCGTGTTCGGGTTTTATGAAGTATGTGTCACCCTCAGGTTTCTGTTAATGGTCTGTGGTTTGTGTTCTGGACAGGCAGTAAATATGCTCTTTACACAAAGCTAAGACACTTTGTGGGTCATGGAGTGGAGAAAGAAAGAGAGAGACAGCAGGTCCTCGTGAAGTCAGGCATTAGACAGAGGAAGTTGAGATTTAGGGAGGGAAAGAGAATGGGGGCTGGAAGGGGGAGGAAATGGGGATGGCCCGGAGGAGACACAGTTAACCGATGGGCAGTGACCTTCGTGACTAAACTTCCTGTGTGCCGCCTTGAGAGAGCTGGACCTGCAGAGTGAGTGATGGAAGCAGAGAGGCTCCAGACGTCACATCCCCACACCACGAGTCTGGACTGTTCTCAGGGCCGGACTCCTGCCCTGCCCTTCTGACTGACTCCACAGCCATTCTCCACGGTCCAGCCCGCGGGGGTTTAGAGCTGCAAGCCAGACCATGGCATGTCCTCGCTTGGAACCTGTCAGTGGCTTCCTGGTGACTTTTAGAATAAAATCCGAACTCTGCTATGGCTTACCAAGGTTTGACATGATTGAGGCTTTGCCCACCCTCCCTGGACTCGTCCTCTCTCTCACCATGCACTCCGACTCCGGCTTGCTTTGTGTTTCTTTGGTACGACAGGCTCCCTCACAGCTCGGGAATTTGTCCTCTTTTTGGGACACTGTTCTAGCTTGACCTCCTCTTGACTCATTTGTATCTGCTGAAGAACAGCTTCCTCTGACCTCCACCCCCGAGTCACACTCCTCCGTGGGATCCTCTTGTGTCTCTCTCCCTAGCACATTGCGTGTGAGTGTTCCTGTCGTGATGCCCTGTTAAGTAGAAGTTTCAGGAGGGCAGGGCAGTGACCCCAGTCCTGTCTCACACACTGCCTAGTTTCTAGTTAGTGCTTGGCTGCTGAGTCAGTGAATGACTCTTGGATCCAAGGCTAAAGTGTTTCTCTTAGGAGCTCGTGGTCTGCCAGGCAGGATTGGCATGAAGCAGCCTGCAGGCAACAGTCTGCAGCTCACACACAAGCTCTCTCTTCTTTGATATGGTGCCTTTGCTTAGGCTGGCAAGCTGCAGGATCTGAGGAATCCCACCCTGACCTTCCAGGCTGGCTCCATGTAGCTCAGCCAGAATCTGCCGCTCATTCTCCTCTGTTCACACACCTGCCACGTGCCTGTCTTCACTCCTGCTGGACCGAGCAGGCCCCTTTCTGCCACTTACCTGGTACTTCCCTTTATTACTGCATTGGCACCGAGTGCTTCCTGTGTGCCAGGCACCATGCTGGGTGCTTTCCATGTATTCTCATGCTTACCTTTTCTTCTTTAGTTACAGAGAGGCCGAGGATTGCACCCACGCCTCGAACATGCTCAGCAAGCACTCTCACTGGACTGGACCTCCCAAACTCAGATCCCAGTTAACTTTTTTTGTAGCCCCGAGAATTGTGCACCTTTATTGTTCCGACTTCACAAATAAAGAAATGGAAGCGTAGCAAGGGGCAGTGACTTCTGGAAAGGGCCGAGCTGCCTCTCTCCAAACGCTGAGCCCTCAACCACTGGGCATCACCACAGCTGTAGCCTTGCCTAGAGCAGCCTTGCTGTAGCGCCTGGCCCTGAGTGAGCACCAGAGGTGCTTGGGAAAGCTTGCAAGGAATATATTAGAGTGCAGCAGACTGGAGTGAGGGAGGCCAGCCCGAGGCCGCTGGCATGATGTAGGCTGTGTTAACGTGGCCTACATCATCCACCTCGATAAGCTCTCTGGGGGCGTTACTGACATTTTAGGAAAGATGAGCTCTTCAAAGGGAGCAGCAATAGAGGAAGGCTACCAGACAGCTTTAGGGAAAGCCTCTTTGTGCTGGACCATCTTAAAGCCTCACAGATCTGCTGATCAGCACTTTCAGAACTGACCAGAAGGAAGACATGTTGGGAGGTTGGTCGCTGTGGCATCTGAGGAAGGTACTGCCTGGCATCCCTGGGACATCCAGGGAGCGTGGAGACTGTAGGAGGGGAGGTCATCCCTGGGACGTCCAGGGAGTGTGGAGACTGTAAGAGGAGAGGTCATCCCTGGGACATCCAGGGATCATGGAGACGGTGGCAAGGAAACCTGGTTTTTATGTACATCAGCCCTGGAACACTTTGTAGAAATCTTTAGAATACCAAACCCAAACCCTGGAGCTGGCCATAGGAGCAAATGACTGTGATCCCAGCACTTGGAAGGTAGAAACCTGAGGGTTAGTTCAAGGTCAAAGCCAGGGAGATGATGCAATGGATAGAGCGTTTCTGGACAAGTGTGACCATTTGAGCTTGAACCGTGGGGCCCACACAAAGGTGGAAGGAAAGACAGACTCACAGAGTTATCCTGTGACCCCAGTAGTTGCACCATGGCAAGCACATGCCCACACACCACACACACACACACACACACACACACACACACACACAGAGTTGTGTAATACCTAAAAAAAGATGGATCAGCAGTTAAGGACACTTGATGCTCTAGCAGAGCACCCTAGTTCAATTCCCAGCACCATGTGGTGGCCACACAACCATAACTCCAGTTCCAGGGGCTCTGCTGCCCTCTTCTGAAACCAGGCCCAAGTGCTGCACACATGCTTGCAGGCAAAACACTCATACACATAAATCTAGAAAAAAAGTTCACAGTTAATCTTGGCTACGTAGAGAGTTCAAGGCCAGCCTGGGCTATGTGAGACTTTGGCTAAAGAAACAGCAAAGAGACATTGCCAAACCCTGGCATGCGGGTGATAACTGAGAAGTACAGCCGATGGGAAGAGCATCACACCTCTCTCTTAAGGTAGACCTGAAACAAATTTGCAGGACAAGAGTTCCCAAGGAGCTGTGCTTTGTGGTGTCCAGTGACTTTGGCTCATGGAACACAGTACATATTTGTTGAACAAGTGATTGAGAGGCTCCATTGAGAGCAGATCGGCTTCCTGAGGGTCACGGCCAGTTTGTGGTAAGCAGATGATAAGTATTTGCTCAACACTACTGAACAGAAATGCCAATCCTAGATGGAAGTTTTCCCTGTCACCTCATTGCAGTAGACAGTCCAGACCCCTTAACCTCTCCTAACACCTAAGTGATGTGAGAACCGTGGGTATCCTCTGTCAGAGCTGTGGACTGACTTGTCAAGCAGAGCCTTGGGCAGAGAACAGGGGCAGTTCAGGCTGTCCATGTACTTCCTTCAGAGCCTTAGATAACCATCTTGGTGTTGTTTGCCTTGGCAGGGTAGCCAGGGCCCACAGCGAGTCTGTTCTAAATCTGCTGCTAGGTTACGGCAGCGCACCTTAGATAATGGAGCCGCGGTCATTTCCCATAAGGTAAGAACCAGTTCACTCTAGCTTTGGTAGTTAGGGAGTCAAAATATATACACTGTACAAGCCTCTTATTGCTTCCATGACACTACCAGGGGCTGAGTGACTCAAACGTGTGTGTTCATGGGAACAGTTCTGCGGTTGAGAACCTGATTTGCCTGTGCTTGTGGGCATAAACTGTCGCCAGGGCTGCGGCTCTGGAAGCCTCTGGACAGAATCTCTTTGTTCATGTCTTGTTAGACTAAGACCTGCCTGCATTCTTTGGCTTAGTTTCCTCCCTCCATGCTTCCTGTTTCAGGCCGGAAACTACGGTTTCTCAGGCCCTGATTTCCCCCTCAGATCTTCTCTCTGATTCCACTTTTCTGCTTCTCTCTTCTGTGGATGATGTTTTGGAAAATATTTACATGGATGAGGGTTTTCCTTGCATGTGTGTGTGTGTGTGTGTGTGTGTGTGTGTGTGTGTGTGTGTGTGTGCGCGCGTGTGTGCGTGCACACGCGCGTCATCTATGTAGTTACCACAGAGGCCAGAGGAAGGCACTGGATTCCCTGGAACTAGAGTTATAGGTGGTTATGGACAGTCATGTGGGTGCTGGGAACTGAACCCAGGTCCTTGGCAAGAACAAGAAGTGTTTGTTCCTCCTACCCAACAGACCATCTCTCCAGCCTCAAAAAGAAAGGCTCTTCCTTTGTAGCCCAGGCTGGTCTGGAATTCACTGTGTAGACCAGGCTGGCCTTGAACTTGCCATCTCACTGCTTTACTCTCCCAGGTCCTGGATTAGAAGCATGCATCGCCACACCTGGCTCTACAGAGCTTTTGATTACATGAGGTTACTTTGTAGTTTACATAATTTTCAATAGTCTTCTTGGAAGGTCAGTTGATCAGCAGTGTGACCTTTAGCTGTAATCTTAATTCTCTTCTGCCAGGTGAAGTCACAAACTCTGAGGTCACCAGGGATTAGATGTGCACCTCTATAGGGGCCATTATTCTCCATGTCTGTCCTAAGTGGGAGAGACTCTAAGTGGGGTTCAAGGAAAGAATCAGAGAGCCACTGTGCAGTCTCGCTTCCCAGCAGACTGCTGGAGAGTGGGAAGGACGGCTCGTGGCTAGGGCCTCCTGCCTCGAGGCCTTGTGGACCACTCTTTCTGGCTGCTGGGTGTCTGTAGGCTGTGTGGAAGTAACTGAAGGCACTCAGTCATGCCCAACCTTTCGACGTGTGGCACATCGTCATCTACAAAGTTCATGCTTGAGAACTGAACAGCCCTTGCGTTACAAAAAGTCACCAAAAAGATCTCATCTTTGGCTTCATTTGTTTTAATCCAAAGTTAGACATACCACAAGAGAAGTAGAAGCATGGGTCAGTCTCAGTGAATGGGTTCCCCGGGGCTAGAATTCAGATGTTCTTTTGACTGAAGAGGCAGATGGTGGAGATGAGGGGCTAGGAAACCACAGGAGGGCTGCTGAGCAGGACACTTGGGTGTGTGAGGTTCTGGGGCACTGATGGCTGGGGAAGGCAGTGTGAATCTCAGCCTTGTTCTCACCGTGGGCACGAGTCCATGATTAGGTTTCTGGAGCTCTCAACAATGACCAGTTTCTTTGCTTTGAGCCCTGTTAATACATAATTAATAACGAGGGGCTGGAGAGATGGCTTAGTGGTTAAGAGCACTGGCTGCTCTTCCAGAGAACCTAGGTTCAATTCCCAGCACCCACATGGCAGTTCTCAACTGTGTGTAACTCCAGTTCCAGGGGATCTGACACCCTCACACAGACATATATTCAGGCAAAATACCAATGCACATAAAATAAAAATAAATCATTAAAAATTAAGCCGGGCGGTGGTGGCGCACGCCTTTAATCCCAGCACTCGGGAGGCAGAGGCAGGCGGATCTCTGTGAGTTCGAGGCCAGCCTGGTCTACAGCGCGAGATCCAGGAAAGGCGCAAAGCTATACAGAGAAACCCTGTCTCGAAAAACCAAAAAAAAAAAAAAAAAATTAATAACGAAACTTGAGCCTTCCAGCCCTCCCAGCTCCTGTGAGATCATATTTAGCCTTGATTTAGGACTGTGTTGAAGATTAAGTAAGGTAATAGCTATAGCAAAAATGGCAGGCATGAGTAAATGACTTCCTAATTCTTTTGTTGACTAGAAACCCAGGAGGTGGGGCTGAGAGTGTCCTCTGTGCAGAGTGCTTGCCTGGGGAATGCCTGGGGAACCTGGAACTCTGCATTAGCACTCAGCAAGGCTCTGTTGATGTTTTTGTTGTTGTTCTGGGTGAATGATGGTTGGGTGGGGGTGGGGATGCAGCATGTAGAGACCCTAAAAACATTAGCTCCATGGAGTGGAGTGGGGGGGTGGAAGAGGTGTTTGAAATAAAGTCCAGAAGCTCTTACCAGAAGGGTGACGGGGTTCATGTGGGCAGGCCATCACAATCCAGCAAGGACAGCAAGGGCACTGTGTCAGGAAGGGCTCTAAGTGGCTCTGCCTCAATCTTCACTGTCCCTGGAGCTCCTTGGCTGTGTCTGGGAGTTGGGGCCATTATGTAATATTCAGCCCTGCTCCATTTGCTCGTTACTGGAAGCAAGGCTTTGATTTACCAGGGTCTGACTCATTCTTTTCGAGACAGGGTTTCACTGTGTAGCCCTTTGCTGGCCTGGAACTCAGTTTGTAGACCAGGTTGATCTTGAACTCAGAGATCCACCTGTCTGTGCCTCCTGAGTGCAGGGATTACAGATGTGTGTCACCATGCCCAGATTCATTCATTTTCTTTAATAATAATTTTTTATTTTTTGAAATTATAATACAATTACATCATATTTTCCTTTTCCTTTCCTCCCTCCAACCCTTCTCGTGCACCCTCTTTGCTAAAACACACACACACACACAGAGTATATAAATATATAAATATGACCTGCTCCGTCCACATGTTAGCTGTGTGTATGCTCTCAGGGCTGACCATTCGGTGTTGGATAACTAGTTTGGGGGCCTCTTCCCTAGAAAAGACCACTTTCCAAGGCTATAACAGTGCTTTGTCTCTCAAGACCTGCCATGCAGTGTCAGTGATTTAGTGAGGAAAGTTTATTTTCATTTTTGTTTATGTGTATATGTGTTTGCCTTCCTGTGTGTGTGTGTGTGTGTGTGTGTGTGTGTGTGTGCCCATGCATGCGTGCACGCCAGAGCACACATGCTTGTGGAGGACAGAAGAGGGTGTCAGATCACCTAGGACTGGAGTTACTGGTGGTTGTGAGCTGCCTGATGTGAGCACTGGGAACCAAGCTCTGGTCCTCCATAAGGACAGCACGTGCTTAGCTGCTGAGCTCTCTCTCCAGCCCCCCCCCCCCCATCGATGCTTTAATGTGAATTAATCCCCTCAGTTCTTACCTAGTCCTGGGACCCTCCGATTCGGGTTTAATAGGAGGCGTCGTCAGTGACCCCCTCGGAGGAAGTATAGAAAAGAGGATTACTTGAAGATTTTTTTTCCAATTCCCTCCCTCCCTCCCTCCCTCCCTCCCTCCCTCCCTCCCTCCCTCCCTCCCTTCCTTTTTCTCGTAGGCTTGTTTAATGTGCTTCTAATCTTTCCCAAGTCACAAGCTCCTCTGAGACTCCGGTAAAACTTATGGACAGCCCCCACACCACCAAATGTACATGCACACATATTGCCCCTCTCCTCTAAGCATCCATAGGTTTCCTAGAAGTTTATGGACTCCAAGTTGGTAAATCTTGCTTACTGTGAACAGCAATGGCGGCAGAGGCAAATGTCACCAACCTTTGTGGACCTGCAGCAAGCATAGACCAGGAGAACTGGTATTTCTTTCTCTTCAGTTTAACAATTTCAGACAAATTTGGCATATGCTTGAAATTTGGGGAACATTTCAAGTGTATCAAAGGAGAAGCATTTGCATAGTGAATCATCACGTACCAATGACTCGGCGTCAGCGATGAACACAGCGTCTTTCCTCTGTCTCCCTCCAGTCTCAAATACCAGCTGAAGGACTCTTTAAAATGTACTGATGCCACATCGAAAAATTATTGCCATACTTTGAAAAGTATCTGAGAGGCAGGCAGATTCCTGTGAGTTTGAGGCCAGCCTGGTCTAAAAGTGAGTTCCAGGACAGCCAGGACTGCACAGAGAGATCCTATCTCAAAAGTAAATAAATAAAGAACAAAAATAAATAAAGGAATACAATCAAATATCCATTCTGTTTAAGTTTCTTTGAATTAGTTATACTTATTTTTCTTTTCTTTTTTAAGCATTAGTTTATGTGAGCCAGGGCCCCACGTTTACACTCCAGTGTAGCTGTTATAATGCTCTAGCTGCTAATGTTCACTGATTGTGGCTGTTTCCTTTGGCAAGGCGAAGAGGACGGACAGTCTGTCAGTGAACTCAGCTGTAGGTAACCAAGTTAAGGAAGCATGAAGTTTTCAAATAGTTGACTTTACTCTTTATATTTTTAATGTTAAAGATGTGCTTTTAAAATTATTGTAATTTAGTTTGTATTTTGAGATTATAATATAGTTCCATCAGTTCCCCCTTCCCTTTCCTCCCTCCAGGCCTCTTGATTTATAGTCTTGGAGAAATCTGGCTTCTACCTCCCTTCCTCCCTCTCCATATTGCCACCTTGTTCTGTGCTCTGTCAGGTGTCTGTGGAGAGTGCCGACTGTTATAAGTGATTCTGCATATTAAAAAGTAGCTGGGTAGCCAACATAATAATTACTTCTATAAGCCGGGCGGTGGTGGTGCACGCCTTTAATGCCAACACTCAGGAGGCAGAGGCAGGTGGATCTCTGTGAGTTCCAGGCCAGCCTGGGCTACCAAGTGAGTTCCAGGAAAGGCGCAAAGCTACACAGAGAAACCCTGTCTCGAAAAACCAAAAAAAAAAAAAAAAAAAAAAAAAAAAAAAGACAAATCAAGAAGGAGGGAGGAAGGAGGGAGGGAGGGAGTAAGAAAGGGAGGGAGGGAGGAACTCATGACCTGAAGGATGAGCTAGGTAAGCAGATAACACATGCAGAATAAACCAGTTGTTTTTCTACTTAAAAATGGTTCCTCGTTGGGTGGAGGGATGGCTCATTGGTAAGAACACTGGATGCTCTTGCAGAGGACCCAGGCTCAGTTCCTAGCACCCTCATGGCTGCTCACAGCACTCTTATCCCTGGTTCCAGGGGATCTGATGCCCTCTTTTGGCCTCCCCCAGCATCAGGCACATAAAGGGTACACAGATATGTAGGCAAAACACCCATACACATAAAAAACAGTCCCACTCATAAAAGACACCCTACACTTAAAAAACACCCCATACATAAAAAACACCCCTCCACATAAAAAACACCCATACACATACAACTGAAACAGAAAAAAGCTGGGGTGTGACTTGCCTACATGTGCAAGGCCCCAGGTCCAGCCCCTAGTACAGCACAAAAGGAAAAAGGAACGGGAAATGCTTTGCAGGAAGTAGAGCTGGTGTGCTCTGGAAATGGTGTTCATCAAACCGCAGCACCATGGGGCTGAGGGAGGTACAGGGTTAAAAGGTACATCTGAAGATTTTGAGTGTTATTAAAATAGTACAATACAGGCCAATTCCAGCCTTTTCCCTCCTCCTCCTGCCCCTCTCCAGGGTCTCTCTGTGTCACTTCCAGGTCTGGTGCTCACTATAGAGCCCACGCTGGCCTTGAACTCATGGCAGTCCATCTGTCTCATCTGTGATTACAAGCGTGAACGTCATGCTTGGCTTTAAAAAGGTTAGTTTCATCTGAAAGTACTTCAGTGTGTCTAAAATCTAAGTCCTCTGTATCATCAGCCTGATACAGCTAAAGGGAGACACTGTGTCCCACCGTGAGTGTCCTGTCAGCATTCAAGTGTGCGCTGGTCCCGTATGTCTCTTGTTGGTTCTGATCTTAGAGACTTTGTAACAAACCACTTCATTTCCACCGTACACTACAGAAGGCACAGAACGTTCCCTTTAGTTACCCGCCCCCCTTTACTATCCACGTCTGCACCAGAGCAGCTTTTTATGCTAAGTCCATAGCTTGCGTTAGGGTGGGGCCTTGGTGTTGGACATTCTGTGGGCTTGGACAAATGTTTGAGGACATGGATCCCCCATGCTTGGACCATACAGACTCATTACCTGCCCCAAATCTTCTTTCTGCACCTGACCTATTTAGCCCCTTTCCCAGCCCCCAGGACAAACCTTTCTTTCCTTCCTTCCTTCCTTCCTCCCTTCCTTCCTTCCTTCCTTTCAACAAAACCCCAAAACTAACTTGCCTAGAACTAGTGATCCTCCTGCCTCAGCTTCCTGAGTTCTGAGATCACAGGTGTGTGCTGGCACAGCCATACCTGAATGGAGTGGCAGAAGTCACAAAGCCAGCCCAGCTGCTTGACAAAGATCCAGCAGAGCTGAGCCACATGGTGGCCGCCATGCCACCTTTGGTTTTCATCTCTACCTGTGCATACTTGCGGGACTTTTAATATTTGTACAATTTGGGGATAGTGGATTAATGGAAAATTTCTTGTGAATCTTTTATGCCTTCTCCTAGGAGTATTGCTTCTAAGCTTCCCCAGGAAAGTCCTGAGCATATTACCCCTCCCACTTTTAAGGAGATATCCTTGTCTACTTAAAGGTCTTCCTTATGCCTTGGAGGTTGTGACACATGAAGCCAGAGGTCTCTTTATGGGGGCTATGAGACATTCTTGAAACATCTGTCCCTGTAATTACTCAGGAACAAGATAATCAAAACAAAGTAAACTTAAAAAGGTCAACAAGAGTCGTTGGGCTAGAGGAGTTGGCCACAGTTCAGACTGCAAGCCTCTTCCCACTGTACACTCAGGCAATTACGTGGCGTGGTGTGTACAGCAACAAAGTGAGATTATCTAAAGTTACCTCTGCCCAACAGAGACTTATATTGATGGGCAAAGAATGATGTAGAAAGATGATAAAAGAAAGAGCTATCAGGGCCTCCTTTTCTTAGAAAAGTTAGCACAACAGAGCCCCTGTGATGTCATATGACCAAGGAACAACAGAATGCTAGGATTAGGCTTATAAACAAATTCTATAAAGATATAAAATGTAAACATTGTATTATGCCAGAATTTGAAAATAACTGCAGCAGCTTTGGCCTGAGGACTTTTCTGGGCACTCTGACCATTAAGAGTTAATAATACACTGCTTGGGACATGGCAATATGCCTGGGCTGGCTTGAAGATTTTGTTTTGGTCTGGTGTCCTTGAAGCAACCAGAGCTACCAGCCTGAGAACAGGCTGTCATATGCCTCTAGATTCTTAAAAATGGGTCATGGTGTTAATGAGTAAAAATGGTTATAAAGGATAACTATTAATAATGATTAAACTTGAGGGAAAATGATTGGAAAAGATAACTCTGTTCTGTCACGGTTTATCAATGATGACTACAGGATATGCAAGAGGAAGTAGGACACAGGTCCAAAACCAAAATGATATGATCTATGTTTTGGAACAAGAGTAACCTATCCCTGCTTACTGAATTCTGTATAAATAAGAAACACGGGCTGCTAGTCAGTCAGATGCACGATTCTCCCACCATACCTGGCTCATCCTCCCCTCGCTGGATCCTTACCTCCTCTCTGGGCTTGTCTACCACCGGGGATGACTCCCAGTAGTGTGCTACCTACCACACTGGGTTAAAGTTTATGGAGAGCTAATAATTCTTGCCCAGTTTTCTTTTCTCCTCTCTCTTCAGTTAGAGATGAAGCCCAGGGCCTCCTGCATGCCAGGCGAGTCCTGTGCCACCAAGGGGCAGCTCCAGCACTCGGAGCCTTTTGAATAGACTTCTTTCACTTCATAAAATGTGTTTGTCTTTTTATGGCTTAATAGGTCATTTCTTTTTTGTGCCAAACAGTACTCCATTGTCTAGATGCACCGAAGTTTATCTGTTCACGTAGAAGGACATCTTGGTGGCTTCTAAATTTTAGCAATTATGAATAAACTTCTGTAAACATTATATTTAGGTTTTCGGGTGGTAAATATCAATAAACACTAAATTATAAAGTAAGAATATGTTTTGGGAAGAAACTCTTCCAGTGGAGCTGCAGACTTTTGCTTTTCCCCAGCAGTGAAGAAGAGGTCTGTTGTTACTGGTGTCCTGGACTTGGCCATCCCAATAGCTGTGCAGGCTTTGTGTTTGGACAGGGTCTGCCTGTGTACTTCGTAGCCCAGACAGGGGTGGAACCATTGATCCCCTCGCTCAGCCTCCCAAGTGCTGGGATTATAGATATATACTACCATGACTGACTCTAGATGTATTTTAAAATTATTTGTTTGTTTGTTTGTTTGTTTGTTTTGTGTGCTTGTGCACATGTGTGCATACCATGGTGCCCATGTGGAGGTCAGAAGACAACTTGTGGAAGTCAGTTCTCTTTCCACCATGCTGTTGGCAAGGACCCTCTCTAAGGTGGCTGCTGGTGCCTTGGCCATGTGTCTGCCCATGTTTCTGTTGCTCTTTTGTGTTTTCTTACTATCTGATATAATGGGAGGGTTCAAACACAGCTTGTGTATTCCTCACTAAGACCTGTAACAGCCAATTTTTGTTTTGGTTTTTTGAGAGAGAGTCTTACTGTGTAGCCCTGGCTGGCCTATAATCTTCACAGATCTCCCAGAGCCTGCTTCTGGAGTGTGGGGTTAAAGGTGAACATCATTATCCTTCCATCAGTTACTTTTTTCCCCCAAGAAACTCTGATCCTTTAAGTGGAGAATGATATTTTTAGAAATCATAATCTTGGTGCTAATGATCCTTAGAGCTACTGGGTGATCATATGTTATAGGCCCTTTGAAAGGATAGAGTTAAAAAAATATCAACTAATTTATGGACAAAGGAAATGTCATGTATTTTATTGATGCTTTCCACTCGGAAAAGATGTCGCTTTTATTTACCTTCTGGTTTGCAGTCATGTCTCATTTCATCACTAACCCTTGGAGAATCCTCATTCTCGGCCACACTGGGTATGACAGTAGATCCCAAAGTCATTCCTGTCACGACACACAGTGCCCTCCAGAGACGCAGCCTCAGCACTGCAGCCAACAGTGTGGTGACTAAAGCCAGCTCAGGAGGCTGCACGCAGTGGCGTAGGCTAATCCCCGCTCTCAGGGTGGCTGAAGCAAGACAGCCACTGGGAGGCCAGCCTGGGCTACAGAGAGAGACTTCTCAAAAACCGAAAAAGGAAAAGAACAGTTTATGATATTTGCAGTCATCATTTGTCTGTTTATTGTTCTGAGTGTGTATATTGCTTGGGGTGACTGGACATTTGTCCTGATTTCTCTTTGTCTTACATTTCATCAGGGACTGATCTGGAGCAGAGCCCTAGCCTCAGCCCCGATCCCAGCTCCTGAACTGTGTTTCTTGGAATAGTTCTTCTGAGATAGTCACACCACAGCACTGTGTACTTCAATAGTTCTTCTGAGATGGTCACACCACAGTACTGTGTACTTAAATAGTTCTGAGATGGTCACACTACAGCACTGTGTACTTAAATAGTTTTTCTGAGATGGTTACACCACAGCACTGTGTACTTAAATAGTTCTGAGATGGTTACACTACAGCACTGTGTACTTAATTAGTTCTTCTGAGACAGTCACACCACAGCACTGTGTACTTCAATAGTTCTTCTGAGACAGTCACACCACAGCACTGTGTACTTAAATAGTTCTGAGATGGTTACACCACAGCACTGTATACTTAAATAGTTCTGAGATGGTCACACTACAGCACTGTGTACTTAATTAGTTCTTCTGAGATAGTCACACCACAACACTGTGTACCTGGAATAGTTCTTCTGAGATGGTCACACCACAGTACTGTGTACTTCAGTAGTTCTTCTGAGATGGTCACACCACCAATGTCACATCTGTTTCTGTCTTGTTTTTTATTTTGGGAATTCCTTTTTCAAAAAGATTTACTTCTCTTCATGTGTGTCTGTGTGAATATCTGCCGTGTGTGCAGGTTCCTGTGGCTGTGGCTAGTAGAGGATGTTGGGTACCCCAGAGCTGGACTTACCAGTGATTTTAGGCCATCTAAGGTGGATGCTGGGAGCTGAGCTTGGGTTCTATGGAAGAGCAGTACACGCTTGACCATTGAGTGAGCCATCTCTCCATCCCTGAGAATTTCTTCCTTAAATCCGAATTTATATAAAACATTCATAAGATATTCAAGGAAGGCTGCCTTCTGTCTTTCTTTTTTTCTTTTTCTCCTTTGTAAGTAGTTGTTTAAAAAAGGGATTTGAAGTCAGGCAGCAGTGGCACATGCCTTTAATCCCAGCACTCAGGAGGCAGAGGCAGGCGGATCTCTGTGAGTTCGAGGCCAGCCTGGGCTACAGAGCGAGTCCAGGACAGGCAACAAAACTACACAGAGAAACCCTGTCTCCAAAAACAAAACAAAACAAAAAAAGGGAATTTGATAGCCTCACACAGACATACATGTAGGCAAAATACCAATGTGCATAAAATTAAAAACAAATCATTAAAAAAGTCAATCTTTTGTAAATATTCTTTCTTTTTAAGATTTTTTATTTTTTTACTTGTGTCTGGGTGCTGCCCACGTCTGTGTCTGTGCACTATGTGGAGGCCAGAGGAGGGCGCTGGGAATTGAACTTGGGTCCTCTGGAGGAGCAGCCAGCTCTTCACCATTGAGCCGCCTCTCCAGACCCGTTCACTCTAAAGAATAACCAGGCATTTATGTTCCAGCTGCCCTTTCTTTGTTAAAATGTAGCAAATCACAGTTTTTTCCGCTTTGCCTTTAAAACTTAGTATTCTATCTTGGAGATTTTTTTTCATGGTAGTAATAATATGTATTTTTAAATATCTAGGAAAGTAAATTATCAAATTAATCACTCTAAGTGACCTTTGACATTCTATTTCTCTAAGAGTTTATTTAAGTTAACCTCATTAAAAATACCTTGTCATTGGGGAACTAGATTGTCTGTCCTCAGCATGAGGATGGTAAAGTGGGGACTTGGAAGAGTGAGTTGGAGATCTGAGCAGAGCGTGGGGGGAGCACAAAGCCTGACGGTATGCAGAGGCCCACGTGGAGGCAAGAGCGTGCTGTGTCCCTATGGTAAAGTAGCCTGGCCAGAGCCACACACCAGGAAAGTAACTGCCAGAGTATCAGTTAAGTGTGTTTGTCTTCGTAAGTCGATGCCTTGTAAGGAAGGAGGGACGGTGATCACAGCATTCTTTTAAGAAAGTCTTTCTGGCAGCTGGAGAGGTGGCTCAGGGGTTCAGAACACTGGCTGTTCTTACAGAGGATCTGGGTTCAATTCCCAGCACCTACATGGCAGCTCACAACTGTCTGTAACTCCAGTTCCAGGAGATCTGACACCCTCATATAGACACGCAGGAAAAACACCAGTGCACATAAACTAACTAACTTAAATCTTTTTTAAAGAAGACTTACTGAGTACTCACTATGTGAGTGTTCATGTGAGCACTTATATGTGAGCATTTATGTGAACTTTAGTGGGTAGCCATTCCAGCTTTGATCTGGAAGTTCCAACCCCCACTGAGGCTTTGGTAACTATCACACCTACAAGGTGGGGCCAAGAGAGGGCCCTGAGACCAGAGATCCGGATGCGCCGCCCTCTCTTGTTTTCTGGACCCTGGACGCTGGAGGGAGACCGAGCAGAGTTCTCCAGAGAACACCGCCGGACTGCGCTGCGTCTTCCCAGACCTTGTTACCTATCCCTTCATTTGTAAGTTACGCCACTAAATAAATCTCCCTTTTAACTTTGTGGAGTGGCCTTAATAATTTCACCAATAGTGAGCACTTACTATGTAAGCATTTCTATGCTATCGGGGGGGGGGGGGGGGGGGGGACGCTGTAATCTTTTTAAAAGATTTATTTTCTTTTTGAGACAGGGTCTCACTGTGCAGCATTGGCTGACCTGGGACTTGCTCTATAGACCAGGTTGGTCTTGGCCTCCTGAGTGCTGAGATTAGGCATGCAATATCACACCTGGCTTGTTTTGTTTTGAATTAGGTCTATGGTGAGTATGTGTGCATGAGTGCAGTTGCCCATGGAGGCCAGAAGAGGGTGTCGGTCTCCTGGAGGTGGAGTTATAGGCTGGAAACCGCGAGAGCATACACACTCTTAGCCACTCACTGGTCCGTCTCTCCAGCCCCTGTATGTATGTTTCATTACTAAGCAGAATTGCAGTATGCCACTGGGACATAAAAACTGGGGCCTGGGCTAGTTTGGAAGTGGGGGGCAGTCGCCATTCAAGGCAAGTGCCTGCTGGTGTTGGCTCTACAGAATGTAGCCGGGTCACTGGAGAGGATGGAGCTGCTCAGTCTTAACTCCCTTCTACCACAGCTGTGACCTTGGGGCATAGTTCTTTAGTGTGCTTCGGGTCTAGGCTACTCACAGAATGGAAAAGAAAATGGTTGCCATATTTGCATCTCCTGGTTATTGTGAGGTTCCAACTTAAATATATATATGTAAACCACTGTGTTTCCTCCTCCAGGCATCTCAAAGGAGCCTTGGTTTGAAGTATTTGAATGAATGAATGGATATTGGTGTAATTCTGTAACTATTTGCGTGTCTGTTTTCAAACAGAGACCAGATGAGGAAGCTGTGGTGGACCAGGGTGGGACCAGCACAATTCTCAACATTCACTATGAGAAAGAAGAGTTGGAAGGTAAGAACCTGCCTCCTAGTCCTTGTCTTGAAATAAGAGCAGAGACAACAGTACCCACATGTGTGACAGGCTTATTATGGGGCCCAGTAGGCAGCATGAGACAGAGTACTCAACATAAATGTTAACAATAACAAATAACCCTTTCTTTGAGAATGTGAAGCGCTCATTTAGTTCACTGAGTCTTCATAACTGCACGGAAAGATAAGTATCTACACAAATTTAAAAGAAAATAGAATATCATGAGTTTAAAAGTTCAGTTTGGCTGTAAAACCTTTTTTTTAAACCACATTTCCATTATTGGCTCTTTGTTTTCTAACTGTGCCCATTTGTACCAGATTTTTTTTTTTAAAAAAAATGTAAACAAGGAAAGGGAATGCAGAAACAGACCAGCAAAGACTCGGAGTTCTCAGCACAAAGTTAAGGAAAAACCCCAGTGAGATGGAGGCAGGAGGAGCCATTCTTGTCCCTGACTGTGCCCTGGCGTCTCCTTCCACCTGTCCAACCATGGTTCCTCATTAGTGGTGACATTCCTTTATCCTGGAGGAGGGTTCCCGTCCAAGGAGCCAAGTCTGCTCCGTGTGAGATGGCCGCTGCCGCTCCCCCTGCACACTGGAGGTTGCAGCAGCTTCCCGCTGTCAGAGGCCGTGATGTTTTCTCTGTACTGCTTGTTCCGGTCATGGGTTTTATCAACCTTGTGCCACCACAGGGAAAACTCGGCCTTTGAATGGGAAGTGGAGGAAAGCTGGGGAGGCTGGCTGCGGCTCCAGCTCGGTTACTGTGAAAACCTGTGTGTGGGTGACTCTGCAGAGTCACTGGTGTGTGGATAGATCAAGGTCAAGTTCTCGAAGTTATTTTGGCCAGATGGATGAAGGGACAGGGAGAATGTGGGAGCAGGAAGTGTGTGCTATTGGGGGAGGCCTCTGGTGTTAGGCATTGAATTAGGTATTTTATACCAGCCACCCTTTCGTCTGTAGTACTGTTAATCCCAGTGGGCAAAAATAAGACCACTACCACAATTTCTGAGATAAAATTGAAGCAAACTTTATTAAATACTGGCTAGGATGATGGACACTGGCCAGGTCCATACCTGGGATTACCAGAGTATGGTGCCAAATTACACTAGCCAGGGGCTTATAAAGGCAAACCCCACAAGACTATGTACTTCCTGCCTTCGTCCAGTCAGGGGCAAGCATACATCGTGATGTACTTCCTGCCTACGTACCTCCCATCTACTTGTGATCAAGCACATCCTGTGCAGTTGGGGCAACCAACCTTGTTTACAGAAGCAAGAACAGGTGCCTTGTTTTACATGAACAACAGCCCCAGCATTCCAGGAAGTTACCTGTCCCTGGGCAAGTAGGGCTTACAGGTTAGAAGCAATTTTGTTTTATAAATCCCTTAACCTCAGTAATTTAAACTTAAAACATAATTTGGTCCTCACAGTACCCCAGACACATGTTGATGCCATTACCCTCTGTAGTTGTGGGAACTGACTTGATGGTAGGGGAGACTGGGGTGGAATCCCTCTTTTTCCCCTCTGGACTACAAGGCAGGTAGGTATAACCTTACCCTCTGGGCCTTGGCACCCTGCTTCACCATGCAGACATTTCTTCCTGCTATCCCAACACCTTGAAGTGCATCGCTAGCAGGTCCATTGTCCTCTAGCATTTACCCGTGGATCTTAGTCCTCCACCGGGAAGTGAACATATATAAAAATTTTTGTGTGCTTGGGAATAGAGTAATGAATCTGGGCAAGCTCTCTTGGATTCTGAGGGCCAGGTCTCATCCATCGAGGTCAGCTGAGGAACTGTTGGGAGCGACATCTCCAGATGATGTCATCTCTGGTGCGTGCTCTACTCTGCTAGAAAAGCAACCTAACGGGACGACAGTTGTCAGAGGACACCCTGCTGGGAAGTGGCTTTTTATGACAAGATCTTTCTGGAAACTGGATTTTCTTCTGTTAGCACTTAAAAAATGTACTACCGAATGGTCCTCCCATGCCCAGACCTGGAATGTCTCAAGAGCAAAGCCTGAGGAGAGGAGAGCAAGTGGGTTTGCTGCCGTGGGCTTGGGCATGCTATGGGTTCCGCCAGACTCACTCACTCCAGGTGTAATTACGGGACTTGATGAAGCTGTGTGCCGGGTAGTGGTGTCGCCTAAAGGCACACAGAGAGAAAACAGCCCTGCTTTAATAGACGATCCATAAATTGTTTTCTGATTCAGTAATGTGCATGCCATCTCTCAGGGTTCTGTAGCTGCTGAGAAATCCCAAGTCTTCCTTCTATTTTATTTCATATGCTCTATCACGTTCCCTAACACCATTTTCAGAGACGGTGTTAGTGACTGTAGATGTGGGTCTTTTTGAATGAACTGATTCTATCCGTTAGAGAAGGATTTTTGAACAGCAGCTTTCCAAAGATAACTGGAGCGACAGTCCACAGTACATTTCAGAGGGTTCTCTCAGCCCCTGTGGAAACGGGGCACTCCTGTTGGAGGAATGGCTTTTCCCTGTTTTTCTGGCAGATCATTACTCCCGATTAAGCACTAGATTTATGACTCCTGGTGTCAGCACCATGCTGTCTAATACACTTTAACAAAGGCTGGACCCACTTGGTCATATTTGTAACTTTAAGGAGGTGTGCGTTGTTCCACATGTAGGAGTTACCCTGTAAGCCCAAAGGAGCAGAGTATCCATTAGTGTTCCCTAATGAGTTGCATGTGGATGCTTGGTAAACAGCGCAGGTAGCAGCGTGGTCTGCAGCCCATCTCTGTGTGCGGCTCACACCTGTGTGTTCTCTTCCGCTCCAAAGATCCAGTGTCTCTCATTCATGGCAGCTCTCTCTCTCTCTGTGTGTGTGTGTGTGTGTGTGTGTGTGTGTGTGTGTGTGTGTGTGTGTGTACATTCTTATTTTTAAAAGCATCAACATCTTTCTTACAAGTTTCATTAAATTAGGATGCTTTATTTGCATGCTGATGGCCTCAGTAGACTTGGTCTGACATTGACTGAAGAATGTGCTTGGTTACATATAGGTACTGGAGGAGATCTAAGCCGGGACCTTGAACGTTCACAGGTGCATAGTTGGGAATAAGGCAGCTGCTCAACTGTAATGCAAGGCAGAAAAAAAGGCATGAGAAAAGCTTTAGCTAGGGTAACATGGAGGAAGGTGTCCGCACTTCTCAACGAGGAAATTAGAGATAATGCCAAGGAGGCAGGTGAGTTTGCGGTGACTCTCGGATGAATGCATGTGCAGAAGGTGCCAACAGGCTTGAGGAAGAGGAAGAGCAGCCTGGCTGAAGTAGAGAAACTATAAAGTGCTGTGGATGCAGCAGCTGGGGAAGGCGGAGGGAGCTGAAACCAGCCATTTTGGTGCTGGTGAAGGGCACATGAATTGTTCTCTAGAATGTTCGTTCTGTGCCAGCATGTAGGATGACCCTTTTAGCTCTCTTGAGCTGATCACCTGGTTCCTGTAGAGGTAATTTATTTCCATGTTGAATGTGTAAACTTGTCCCAAAGAAGGAAAATCCAGAGAAGAGGTTGAGAACTGAGCAACAGGGGTTCTGGACTCATAGGATGAACTATGATCAGTCTGTAACCAGGAGGGTGACTCTGCAGCATTTAGTTCGTATGGGAGGCAGGAAGGAGACCCTGCTTTGTCAGAGTAGGAGCAGTGAAAGGCTTGACATTCCTGATCTACAGGACCCACGGTGAAAGGGGCAAAGAGGTAGAGCTGGAATCTAAGGTAACGCTGAAGAAAATTACTTATTTTTATTTTGTGTATGGGTGTTTCCCTGCTTGCATGTCATTGTGTCATGTGTGTGCAGTGCTGTGGAGGCCAGCACAGGTCGAGCGCTCCTCTAGAACAGTCTTACACAGTTGTGAGCCACCGTGGAGCTGCTGGGAAACCCAGACCCTCTGCAAGAGCAACAGGAGCCTCTTACTGCTGGGCCGTCTCACTGCTGGGCCATCTCACTGTTGGGCTGTCCCGCTGCTGGGCCATCTCCCAGCCACCAAGGAATTTACATGGCGGTGGGGCTGTAGACATAAACATGGAGCCTCATTTCATTTTTAGTTTTTTTTTTTGAGACAGGGTTGTTGCTGGAGAGCTTTTCTCCAGGTCCCACCAAGCCCCTGCAGTCCCACAACCCACGTATAAAATAATCACTCTTGTGCCCCATGTTGGGCGCCACAGGGTCTCACTATTGTCTAGGCTAATCTCAAACTCAGTATGTTCCCTTATTGACTTCCAAGTTTTAGCCAGTTGTTTTCATCTTTTCATGTGCTAGGATCCAAGGTGTGAGATACCACACCCACAGTGAGCTTGACTTCTGAGGGTAGAGGCTTTAAATTTGTTTGGGGGCATGGTAATCAGTGTAGGTCAGTGGTTCTCAACCTGTGGGTCATGACCCCTTTTGGGGTCAATCAACTCTTTCACTAGGGTCACCTAAGACCATCAGAAAACACAGTTATTTATACTATAATTCATAACAGTAACAAAATTGCAGTTATGAAGTAACAATGAAAACAGTGTTATGGTTGGGGCCACCACAGCATGAGGAACTGTATTCAAGGGTCACAGCATTAGGAAGGTTGGGGACCACTGCTGTAGATAAAGATTTGAAGCTGTATGGTAGCGTACATCTGTAATCCCAGACTGAGGCAGGATAATTGTATGAAGCCAGCCTGGTAGGCCAAGCTGGGATGCACATAAAGACTCAAAACAAGGGGCCTGGGGAGTCCTGTGTAGAAGTGGACTTGAAATCCAAAGAATGGGTACCCCTACAGAGGAGAGAGGAAGGGTCAAGAGTGGACCCTTCCTCTGGTGGGTGATGAGGCATCCGAAGGAGTCAGGCGGCAGTGCGTGAGAGCTGAAGGAGCCCAGAACATGAAGGTGGACAGGCATCTGGAGACCCGGGTACATGCCGGGCTCTCCATAGAGTCTGTGGAACTGGGAGATGTCTATGACAGAGCTTGGTGACTAAGTGCCATCTGATGTCCTCACTGTGGACAGGAGCTTTAGTAGAGGTCAGGGACAGAAGCCACAGCCAGAGGCCATGGAACAAGAACTTGGGAAGGACAGGGAGTGAGGCCAATCATGATTCTTGGTGGAGAAGGAAGGAGAGGGGGAAACGTGGGAGCAGCAGTCAGTGGGAGTCTTCAAAGATGAGCCATGGAAGGACTGGATGGAGAGGAGAGTGAGGGGTTCGTCCGTCCTTGGTGAGGGGCAGCGGAGTGGGAGGCATGGGATGGAGAGCTCCCGAGCCTGGTAGAGAGGAGCCAGACTGACAGAGGAGTTGCCATGAAAGGACCTTCGTCTTCTCAGTAAGGTGAGGAGGAAGGGGTCAAAGGGCAGGGATAGGCATAGGTAGGATCCAAAAACACTGGCTAAAGATGCCGAGAACCGTGGGGACAGTGTGGGTGCAGCTAAGGTGTGGTGTGCAGAGCAGCAGGAGTCAGGTAGAAATGGGCACAGCAAGGCTGTGAGTGTCAGGTTTGGTAACAGCCCTGGAGCTTCTGATCCTGGGCTCCAGGCTTGGCAGGAAGTCAGGTGAGGATGAAATCAAAGGGGTGCAGGAGAGGAGTCGGGAGCAGGAAGAGGCACGAGAAGGGGTTGCTGTCGGATCACTTACTTCTGTTCTCCATTCTTTGTGCACCGACTTTAACTCTCAAAACCCAGCCTCAGTCCTGATTTAAAAGGTCTGTCTGAAGCCGGGCGGTGGTGGCGCACGCCTTTAATCCCAGCACTTGGGAGGCAGAGCCAGGCGGATCTCTGTGAGTTCGAGGCCAGCCTGGGCTACCAAGTGAGTTCCAGGAGAGGCGCAAAGCTACACAGAGAAACCCTGTCTCGAAAAACCAAAAAAAAAAAAAAAAAAAGGTCTGTCTGCAGTAGTCTGGCCGTGAAGTCCACAGTGCAGAAGCTGGTCTGCAGTTCCCGGCATGGCCTTGAGCATTTCCCGTGTGTTAGCTTACTGTTGCTCTTGATAACCCCATGAGTTAAAAAAATAAGCGTCAGTGTTCCTTTTAAAGGATTAATCAAGAGAGACTGGCTGGCTTGCTCACGCTCAGACTGTTAGCTAGTGCTGAAATGGAGCTTTGAGCCCAGGCGGGCTTACTGGGTCCTTGACTATGCTAACAACCTCTGCCAAAACCTGCCACAGTCACCATACGGGGATTGTCTCTTTAAAATCATTCACATTGCTCTTGTAATAGCAAAAAGTAACAAACATATATTCATAGTTTGTAAGTCATATGCCCCCCTCCCTCTTCCCCCGCTCTTCCCCCTCCCTCCTCCCTCCACCCTCCTCCCAGAGCCTTGCACACGCCAAGGCTCCGTTCCCATGCTCTACTGTGTGACCTGCTGTGCTCTCCACATGCTCCTTCAGGCTCCCACTCTCATAGCTAGTGCACATAATGGAGCACAATTGGTTCATTTGGTTGTCACAACATCCGTGTGAGGTTATAGCTGTGTGCAGGACAGAGGAAGACACTGTCAACTTTGTGATTACTGTCTTCAGTCCCGGGGTCTGTGGAGTTTAAACATTTCAGAAGTGCTATACAAAAGTCGGTGATGTTTTGCTCTTAATCATGCTAGACTCCTTTTGTAAAAGGAGTTCTCTCCATAGGTCTTCTGTTTCCGTTCAGGTCATAGAACTCTGTATGTGGGGGTTCGGATGCCACTGGGCAGGCAGAGCCACCGGCATCACCGCACTCATGGCCAGAAGCACCGGAGACGAGGAGGGCGGGGCAAAGGAGCCAGCCAGGGAGAAGAGGGTCTGGAAGCCTTGGCCCACGGTAACACCCTGGGGGGAGATGGGGTAACACCCTGGGGAGAGACGGGGTAATACCCCGAGGAGAGAGGTGGGTAACACCCTGGGGGGAAACGGGGTAACACCCTGAGGAAAAGGGGGTAACACCCTGAGGAAAGGGGGGTAACACCCTGAGGAAAAGGGGGTAACACCCTGGGGAGAGGGGGTAACACCCTGGAGAGAGGGGGGTTAACACCCTGGGGGGAGAGGGAGTAATGACTGGGGAGAGAGGACCAGTGTCCGTGACAGGGTGGTGTGGAGATTCATGGGAATGCAGGAGGCATAGGCAGGTGGTCTTGATTCTCTAGCCCTTGGCTAGGGTTCCCAAGAGGAAAGAATGCTTCTAAGAACTGGAAACGTCTTCTGAAATTGACATTTCCACAGCCCAATCAGTACTATAAGTAATCCTTTGCTATTTAAAATTTGTCAGGTTTCTAGAAAACTAAAAAATCTATTTTTATGTGTTTGGGTGTTTGGCCTGCATTTATGTTTGTGTGCCACATGCATGCCTGGTGCCCTTGAAGGCCAGAAGAGGGCATCAGATCCCCAGGACAGGAGTTAAGACAGGTGTGAGTTGCCATGTGGGTGCTGGGAACTGAACCCGGGTCCTCTGGAAGAGCAGCAAGTGCTCTCAACTGCTGAGCCATCTCTCCATTCCTGATTTCTAGTTCTCATGGGACTTCTATGAGTGGTCTTAGTTCATAACTTTGCTCTCTTGTTTAAATGCTTCCACAGACTAGCCTTCTCTCTAAGAACAAAGGAACTTTTAAATCTGTATTCAAGACATCGTCTATATATTCCCAAAGCGGTTAGGCAGAGTGCTATTTTTGTTCCGACTTGGAGGATAGATACACATCCAGACCTTTCTCTGGTTGGCTTTCTAGACACCCCATCTCAGCGTGTTCAGTTCATTCTTGGCACCGAGGAGGATGAAGAGCACGTGCCTCATGAGCTGTTCACAGAGCTGGACGAGATATGTATGAGAGAGGGGGAAGAGGCTGAATGGAAGGAGACTGCCAGGTGAGGCCCTGCAGTACCCGGCAGGAGCTTGGGGACAGGCAGATAGATGCACACCTCTCCACAAGTGACAGGCCAATGGCCTTTGTCTCTTCGTGGGTGAGGTGGCATCGAGGAAGCCTGGTGCCAGTGCACGTTGGTGTGGCGTTGATGCCTGCGCTACTGTGGACATTTTCCGTGGACGCGAGAATTACACAGGCCAGCTGCCTGATGCCAAGTGCAAGGCAGTCTTTTATGTTTCTGTCCTGGTGGATTTCTGAAGTCATAAAGAGCACTGATAAAAAAAAGTTACTGTTTTATTAATGTGGTTTGTCAATGTGTCCAAATGATATAGATTAGATTTTTAAAGTCATGCTTATGATAGGCAATTAGAAAATAAAGATAAGCAAAAGGAAGACCCTGACAGTTACCTTCAGTCTTACTGCCGCAAGGATAAAACAGGGAATACTTTTGGGGCCTTATACATATATGTATTTGTAATTTTAGATTTGACTTTAAATAAAAATGGGATTGGGGCTGGGCATTGGTGGGGCACGCCTTTAATCCCAGCAGAGGCAGAGGCAGATGAGTTCGAGGCCAGCCTGGTCTACAGCACGAGTTCCAGGACAGCCAGGGCTGTTACACAAAGAAACTCTGTCTCGAAAAACCAAACCAAACCAAACCAAAAGGGGGTGGGGTGGATTAGAGTGGCACTGTGCCGCAGCTTCTTTCTTCCAGTTCTTCTGTGTCTGGACTCAGACCAGGGTTGCAGTCGTCTCTGCCATTCAGATGTTTTGCCCTCCTGAAAAGCCCGTCTTGTGTCTGTGGCGTCTCATCGTTGTCTGCAGGTGGCTGAAGTTTGAGGAGGATGTTGAAGACGGGGGAGAGCGCTGGAGCAAGCCCTACGTGGCGACTCTCTCCCTGCACAGCCTGTTTGAGCTGAGGAGCTGCCTCATCAACGGCACCGTCCTCCTGGACATGCGCGCAAGCAGCATAGAAGAGATTTCAGGTAAGGCCGAGCAAAGGGCAGAGACGTTCTGTGTAAACTCAGAAGTAGGAGAGGCAAGCATTCAGGTAATCCTGGAAGCTGGAAGGGCTGAAGCAGGAGAATGACAGGTTTGAGGCCTGCCCTATACAGTGATACTTTATCGTAAGCAAAACAGAACAGAACAATGAAGCCAGAAAGAAAACTGAAGGGCCATTGAGAGGGCTCAGGGGGTAAAAGCATTTGCTGGGCAAGCTGGGTCCCACCCCCGGGACCCACACGCGCACACACACACACACACACACCCACACACATGAGCGCGCCATGGTGCATGCCTTCATCACACACACACTAATAATCGCAACAACAGCAATAATAACTTTAAGAAGAAAAATAAAGATTTAAAAGTACAAAATACATCATCTAGAACAGATATGCAGGAAAGTGAGCCATAGCATTCCCGTGCTCCAGCACAGCATACAGGGAAACCTGTCTGCTGGATCTGATGTGAAGGGATATTAAGATACCATGTGTGGGGAGCAGCATTGGAGAGTACCTGGCTGCGTTTGGACCCTTTCCCCGCAGACTGACTCTGTTCTACTGGACAGAGTAAAGATTTCTCCATTCCAAGTACCTATTATGCCTCTCTAAGGACCTTTGGGGGCCCTGGGGGCCGGAGGTCAGTACTGATGGAATCCTGTGTCGACTCCTTTGGAAGGTGGTGCCCCAGATGTACCACCAACTGTGGGGAAAGTGGAAATTTAAAAAAAAGTGAGTTCCGTGTCACGGTCCTGTTTACTGCTCTAGAGGCAGTGGGACCTGGGAGAATGGAACCCAAAATGAGCATCAGACAATTTATACAGTTTATACCAAGGGCGCTGCAGCGGGTGAGCTGTGCAGCATGTGGCAAAAATGTGCTTTTCTGTAGAGGCTAACAGATAACAACAGCCAGTCGTAATGAGTAATCTGAAGTAAACGTCTATCCAGTACACCCGGAAGGGGCACGAAAGCACAGTCCAAGAGCAGTTCGTGTTTTTGAAGAAACTGAGGTCACAAGACTCTTGTCTTGGTTTCTTGGAGTTTTCTCACAAGCATTCAGAAATCTTTCTTCACACAACTCCATTCTTGGACTGTGTTCCGACCGGGTCACATCTGTATTTCACTGACTTCTAGCTCTGTGTCTAAATGCCCATGAAGGTTCCCAAGAACGTTTATGGCCTGTTTTTCGGTGGAGGAACCCCGGGGAGTTAGTGGCGTTGTAACAATGAGGAGATCCTGCAGATGTCTTGGCAGGGTAGTGCCTGGTCAAGTTAGCTGTTAGATGGAGGGTGAAGGGAGAGTAAACCAGGCCATTGGATCAGACCAGGTGAGGTGGTGCCTGCAATGTGGGGGAAGGAGACCCATCCCCCACATGGGGTGGGGGTGGGGTTGCCTCCTGCACACATCCAAACACCTGTTTCCACAGAGAGAACCCTTCTTAAGTGGGGAAGAAAAGTTAAAGTAGCTGCTTTCTGACTCAGGCAGAAAACAGCCTGCAAATGACCTCGCAGGTGTCATTTTAGGAGGAGAAGAGGGGAGGTTTGTTAGAATGGGCTGGGATGGGGTGGTAAGGAGATGAGATGAGGGAGAAGGGGAAGGGGACAAGGGAAAGGCAGCGGTATTTGTCCCAGAGGGACAGAGGGCCGCCTCTGGATAGAGAGGAGACAGATGTGGCCCATAGGCAAATGATGGTTTATAAAGGTAAAATGGAAAACCCTGTATTAGGATGAGGTGTTTAATTTTAATTGGGCATGTTAATTAGGTGAGCCAAAGGGGCTTTTGATTGCTGGACTTCAACCCTTTGATAGCTGGACCTTGGTAGTCAGCCTCAGGAGGAGGAAGTGGCCAAATAAGGGACTAGACCTTGGTGGCTAGCTTTAGGGAGGTGATCTAATGATTTTTAGCAAGGCTGAGGGAATGGGGGAGAAGGTTGCCAGAGCCATGTTTGCCACCCTCCTGTAGACTAGACTTTCTTCAGTGGGCGATGCAGTAGGAGATGGTTTCCAGTCAACTCAGGAGGCGGAATTGATGGGGATGATTTGATGGACTGGTTTTGGGTAAGAAGGGAAGAGTGTTAGGATTCTGGCTTATGGCTGGATGCCTAGAACATCATCAGGTCTGGTGAGTGGGAAGAGGATGGGTTTCGTTCTGTGCTCGCTGAGTCTTAGGGTGTGAGGACATCCAGATGATGTCTGTAGGTGACTGGAGCTTTGATGTGACTCTTGAGATAGATCTGAACTGAAATGTAGTTTTCGGTCATCGGTTCATAGACGTTTGGTGCTTGCAGTCTTAAGGGCAGTTGAGAATGAGGTCAGAAGTGTGGACGCCAGCCATTTAAGGCTTGGCAGCAGGGGCCATAAGTAGGTTGACAGAAGAGTGTCGTCCTTGGAGACCAGGCTCAGGAGTGCCCATAGCAGGTGAGATGAGAACCAGATAAGGACCGCCGAGTCTGTTAGCCTGCCAGGACTGCTGGGACACATGGCCACGTATATGGTGGCTCCTGTCTGTATTCCCAACACTCAGAGGTTAAGGCAAGTAGATAAGTTCAAGACCAGCCTGTAGCAAGATCTCATCTCAAAATAAAACCAATCAAACAATACATTTGGAAGCCAGCAATCTGAAGTGAGTTATAGGTAGGGCTGTGTTCCTAAAGGCCCAGAGCAGAAACGATTTTCCATGGTCCTTCGGCACCCAGTGGGAACTGCAGGTCATTCTTGAATTATGATTTTTCTTCTTTTGAGAATTTTAAGTGGGAAGAGAAAAGTGAAAAACAGTACATAGAAGAGGGGCCTGGTTAGAATTTTTTTCTTTTAAGATGAAGGATTCGGAAGCATGAGCGTAATAGGAGGGAAGAAATCAATCATTATAAAGGCTAAATATGCAGGAACCTGGCCGCGGCTGTTCACACCTGTGGTCCCAGCACTTATCGACTGTTCACACCTGTGGCCCCAGCACTTATCAACTGTTCACACCTGTGGTCCCAGCACTTATCGACTGTTCACACCTGTGGCCCCAGGACTTATCGACTGTTCACACCTGTGGTCCCAGCACTTATCGACTGTTCACACCTGTGGCCCCAGCACTTATCGACTGTTCACACCTGTGGCCCCAGCACTTATCGACTGTTCACACCTGTGGCCCCAGCACTTATCGACTGTTCACACCTGTGGCCCCAGCACTTAGGAAGTACAGGCAGGAAGACCAACTGCTCGAAGCTAGCTGCTACAGTGACAGCCTTCCTGGGGGTGTGGAGACTTCGGTGCTGTACCTCTCTGTAGATGGGGAGACAGAGTAGAGGGTGGTCATGTAATTCCGAGGTCAGATGAGTCAAGAATAATGGAGCTAGGAAGGAAGTGTAGGGTCTGAAGTTCTAGACATGTATCTAGAGTCCTGCTGACAGAAACAAGTAATTATCCTCTCCAGTCATTGGGCTTGATAGTTTATGTGCTGGTAATTGCCTTTAGTGAGCAGTTGGTTAATTTAAATACACTTTTTAAACTTATTATTTCATTTCATATCTGTGTGTTTTGCCTGCATCTGTACTCTCTGGAAGAGCAGCCCATGCTCTTGACCACTGACACCTCTCCAGCTCCAATTTAACTTTTCTTTCGGGCTCCACTTTCAGGTAGCCCCTGGAGCTCACAGCTGCAGCATCCCTGGCAGCTGCATCAGGGCCGAGTTCTTGGAAGAAGGGATAATAGAATTAGAGGGTAACCGTGGGCTTTTGACTCAGCCAGTCCTGGATATGAACCCTTGCTCTCCCACTTAGCAGGTGTGAGAGTTTGGGGACTTCTGTAACAGTCGTTCCTTTGTTTCCTTATTTGGAAGCACACTCTGACTCAGAAGTTAGGAGTATTTGCAGCTCTTCCAGAGGACTCCAGTTTGGAGTCCAGAACCACACTGTGTGGCTCACGACCACTTGTAACTCCAGCCTCCTCAGGGGATCTGATAACTTTCTTCCTGTCTCCATGGGCACCTGTACACATGTGGCACACACACACACACACACACAGACACACAAAGATAAATACATTTTAAAAATAGAAAAAAATGTCATAAAAATATTCACTTTTTCACTTTTAGTGAGTATTGTATAGATAACTGTAACTAGAGTTTTCCTGCCTGGCCCACAGTCAGGACAAATCTCTCTCACCTGCCAGTCCCACAGCCGCTCAGACCCGACCAAGTAAACACAGAGACTTATATTGCTTACAAACTGTATGGCCGTGGCAGGCTTCTTGCTAACTGTTCTTACAGCTTAAATTAATCCATTTCTATAAATCTCTACCTTGCCACGTGGCTCGTGGCTTACCGGCATCTTCACATGCTGTTTGTCATCGTGGCGGCTGGCAGTGTCTCTCTGACTCAGCCTTCCACTTCCCAGCTTTATTCTCCTCCTTGTCCCGCCTATACTTCCTGCCTAGCCAATGGCCAATCAGTGATTTATTTATTGACCAATCAGCACCACATTTGCCATACAGAACATCCCACAGCAGATAACGGATGTAAAGCTCATGGTATAGTTCTAGGTATGTATTAAATACTCAATAGGCTTTGTTCCCCAAAGCAATGATTTGAGCTAAGCATAATGACATACGTCACCATGTAAGTCCTCCCTTAAAGTTTTTTTAATTAATTAATTAATTTTATTTTATATATATAAGTACTTTGATTGCGTATGTATGCCCTTGGGGACTATAAGGGGGTGTTGGGTCTCCTAGAACTGGAATACAGATGGCTGTGAGCCACCATGTGGGTGCTGGGAATTGAACCCAGGTCCTCTTTAAGAGCATCCAGTGTTCTTACCCACTGGGCCATCTCTCCAGCTCCTGTAAGCCCCACTTTTGCAGAAGGGTCACATTAGCTCAGGAATTCACGACCAGCGTATATAGCGTAGTGACACCCCATCTCTAAATGATGTGTTCTCATTGTTAAATAAACAAAGGACAGTGTTTCACAGCTACATTAAGCAAACGCTCTTCTGGACAGGAAGCTGAGACCACCTTGGTGACCCTAGTAGAGCAGCTTGCCTGTGTCTGTTGCCCCTTCCCCAGCCACCTGATGCCATTCCCCTGGGGTTCCTGAGCTCAGTTTGAATGCTGCTGTGCATGCTTGCTTTCCAGACCTGATCCTGGACCAGCAAGAACTGTTCAGCGACCTGAACGACAGTATGAGGGTGAAAGTTCGGGAGGCCCTTCTCAAGAAGCACCACCATCAGAATGAGAGGAAGAGGAACAACCTCATCCCCATCGTCCGCTCCTTCGCTGAGGTGGGCAAGAAGCAATCTGACCCACATTCCATGGATAGAGACGGTACGGATTTGAGTCTGTTTCTCTTTATTGACCACACATTTGGGGACATTTGGAGATGCAGTTGCTAGAGGGTAGAGGCCGTGACACGCAGACCCCTGAACTTTTGGACGGTAGTAAGCCGGGCAGCTGGGAAACGGTACCGTCTCTCCCTTGTGTGCTTGGAAAGCATTCCAAGTAGATCTCCAAGATGAGGGATATATTCTCCACATGCTTCCAGAGAGGGTGTAGCTTTGGGGAGAATGTCCACATTGATCATGATCTGGGGCCAGAGAAGGTGAGTTGCAGCCTTTTCTAACTAAATGAAAGTCTTTGCTTAGACACAAAATACCATAGTGTGGTCAGGCCTGTGCTTTTGGCCTACCACCTGGAGAGTATATGGCCCTGGACAATCTCTTAAAGCTCTTCACAACTTACTTAAACAAGAACAATGACAGGACCTTCCTTCCGTTTATTATGGGGTTTCTGTGAGTTAACTTATGTCCAAAGCCTGTGCCCAGGCACAGGTGGGTTGCAAAGTCTTCCAGCTCTAATTGCCTCTCTTGCTGTGGCTGAGCAAGGCCTCCTCTGTATTATCTCCTCATTTACTAAATTGAGTGCAGACCCTTGCTGGCCAACGGTAGAGGTCCTCATGCACGGAGGTTAAGGGTCACTGTCTCCAGAGAGGAAGGTGAAGGAGGATCACCTTCTTCTTAGCACTGAGTGTGGATGCAGGTATGAGTGGACCCTGCTTGTAGACCTACCAGCCTCTAGAAGTCACAAGCTGGCTCTGACGACCGTCTGTGTCGGAGGGGAGAGGCAACCCTAGCGAGTTCTCTTTGACTTTCTCCAAAACAGGTCAGACTGTTTCTCCTCAGTCTGCTCCAACTACGAATCTGGAGGTGAAAAACGGAGTGAGCTGTGAACACAGTCCTGTGGATCTAAGCAAGGTGAGGGAGACATGGCAAGCTGGCTTCTAGGCTAAGGTTGTCTGTAGTGGAGCCCAGTGTCTTCGGACTCTTTCTGGGATCTGGTAAGCGCTGATGTTTCATGGTCTTTTCCCCAAGACCAGCGCTGCTTCTGTGGGAAGGGATGCCGTCTTCTTAGTCTTCGTCCTTCGCACGCACAGCTGGGTGAGGCTTGCTCCTCAGTGTGTCCTTCCAGGTTCAGCGTAGTGAAGACAGACTACTCCCGAGGCTCCACTCCCCCCCCCCCCCCCACTTTCATGAGTTGCCTTTTGGTATCTGATGCTCTGCGGTTCTGTCTCATCTTCAGTTGTCACACAGTATGCAGCTGCCTCCTAAAGCTCCCAATGTTTCGGACTCTTCTTGGGGGCTGTGACTGCTGTATTGATGAACTAGTCAGGTATTTGATAAGAGAAATAACATGACCCAGAGCTTCTGAGGCACCTCCTCTCTGAAGAGCATGGTGGATTTAAACTCTGATTCTTGAGGTGACGCAGTGGATAAAGGTGTTGCTTTCAAATGATCTGAATTCCATCCAGAAACCCACACAGTGCAAGGGTGGAACTGATTCTCACAAGGTATTCTCTGGCTTCCACACATGGGCTGCAGCTTATGTAGACACACACATCAGGTGTTGGTCGTGGCGGCGGCGGCGGCGGCGGCGGCGGCGGCGGCGGCGGCGCACGCCTTTAATCCCAGCACTTGGGAGGCAGAGCCAGGCGGTTCTCTGTGAGTTCGAGGCCAGCCTGGTCTACACAGAGAAACCCTGTCTTGAAAAACCAATAAAAAGAAAACAAAAACGAAAGAGACACACACACACACTAAATTATATATAATTTATATGTGATATAAATTATAAATGAATACATATCTGTATTCTAAGCTCTCTAGTTCTAGTCAGCTTTCCCTCCCTGAATATTAATTGCTTTTTTACCCCTTTGTTTTTAAATAGTGGGACTGATATAATCCATGATACCTCCATTCAGGGTTTTTGTGGAGATCAAATAAAGCAATGAGAACCTTCTTTAACCCTGAGTGGCAGTGCACTGTAAGGTGTGAGGAGCATGATTGGCACTGAAGTCGATGCCTTGTGCACTTTCAGGTGGACCTTCATTTCATGAAAAAAATTCCCACTGGGGCAGAGGCCTCCAATGTCCTGGTTGGAGAGGTGGACACTCTGGACCGGCCCATCGTGGCCTTTGTGAGGCTCTCCCCAGCTGTGCTTCTCTCAGGCCTGACAGAAGTGCCCATCCCCACAAGGTAACTTGGAGATGTATGCCAGCCCTGGTGCCGGAAGCTAGCTAGTACCAGAAGTTAGGGCTGGCTGTTTGGACAGAGCTATGAAAGCGGGGTGGGGGTGGGACTAGGGGTGGGGGCTGTGACTATGGAATACTGTTGGCCTTGGAAAAGGAGCCTAGTGAACAGTGAAGTCCAGCAGGGACCAGTGGCTTGTCACACCAGGAGGCCTCGGTCTCCCTTTCCCAGTTTGAGAGAGCAGTATCCAGGGAACTGTCTCTAGGCAAAGGTACTGATGTCTTTCCACAGCGCTGGCAGGGCTTGGCTGTTGGTGTGCCCTGAGGTGGTGACGCCGTGATTCAGAGCCCCACTAATTATAGAGAGTGCTCAGATGTCCAGAACACAATTCAGGCTCCTCTCCAGGGCTTGGTTATTTCTACTTCTTATCCTTCCCTTTCCCTATCATTTTCTTATTAGAACAATGAATGGGAATTAGATAACCTGGAATTTCCACAACGCTGTAGTGTTTGAAAAGACATCCTTTCTATAGCTAGGAATCGTGTCTATGGTAACTCTAAGAAATCCAGCCAGCCGCATCATTGAGTGATGTATAAATAGCTCCGAATGCTGTTTGGCCATAGCACAGTGATGTCCTGCTGCATGTTAGTACGTGTTCTTATGGAAGGCAGTGATATTCTGTGTGTAGTGGGGGAGAGAGATTGCTGTTTAGAGTGATAAGATGTCACTTCTCTGTCTTTATTTATGTAACTCTCTCTTTTTTTTTGCGTGTTTTGGCAGATTTTTGTTTATCTTATTGGGTCCAGTAGGAAAAGGTCAGCAGTACCATGAGATCGGCAGATCCATGGCCACCATCATGACGGATGAGGTACACGCCACTTCTGCCTTCTATTCACTCATCTCCTGAATATTGAGCATTTACTCTGTTGCAGAAACTGTGTGTGTTGTTGGGGATAAAATAATGACTGTCACAGTGTCTGCTGGGAAGCGTTCCGAGAACTTTTCTGAGAGCCATTCAAGAGCAAACCATACCCTCTGGAGACTTTCCTGGCTGTGCCATCTCTTGTTTGTTTATTTATAGACAGGTTCTTAACATGTAGCCCAGGTTGGCCTTGAACACCCAGTGCTGGGATTATAAGCATGTACCTCTATGGCCACTTTACTCTCTTAAGTAATCAAGGATGCAGAGAAATCATTTTCTGGGAGAATTATTATTGCCAAGTAGAATGTGTAGACTCATATTTAATGTAACTCATGAAGCCTGAGTTACCTGTCTAGAGAATACGGTGAATTAAATACAGTGAAGTTATTTGCATAAAGAAATGCTCCTGTTCCATGGAAAGGAGAGCGGTTTGCATAAGGTCAGGATGTGTCCTCGGGCGGGCGGTGTCAGGCGGAAGTGTCTGCCCACACCACTGTTCTGGACCTGGTGAGGACTGCTGGACAGTGGGTTTCCAAGGCAAGAAGCGTGGGCTGAGTTTATGATCTCTCTCTGGTTCTTTCACAGAAGACCTTGATTAGTAAGTCTGTCTAGTTTCGAACATGACTAACAGAATTTCTGTGTGTCTTGCTCTTTCTCCTGTGGAGATGATAGGATGACTGGATGACTTTAGAGTTGTGGCTTACCTCCTTGACACAGGGTCTTACTCTAACCCAGCTTGGCCTTCCACTCGCGGTGATCCTCCTGCCGTAGCCTTTGGTGTACTTGGCTTCACAGGCACATGCGCTTCCACACTGCGCTTTAGGTTCCTTTTAAAATCCATGTGCTTCTTTAAGCACTAAGTTTTACGTCTTAGATGTCCATGCCAGAGATAAAAACCAAGAGGCTGTATCCATTCATCACTATTCATTGGAGAGTGTTGTAAATAAAATAATTTTGAGTTTTCCTAAGTTTTTTTCCCTCCTGTAGATCTTTCATGATGTGGCTTATAAAGCAAAGGAGCGAGATGACCTCCTGGCAGGGATTGACGAGTTCCTGGACCAGGTGACGGTACTCCCTCCGGGGGAGTGGGACCCATCCATTAGAATTGAGCCACCCAAAAATGTCCCTTCCCAGGTAACGTATGCATCTAAGCTATTGGTGGGTGCTGTTCCTTCCGTAGACAAGCAATATTATGTGTGTTTGTGCTGAATATACTGAGACATGTCCCTGTTTGGGAGTTCTTGAATGTCAGACTAGGAATAAAAGATTAACTTACAATAACAGGTAGGCTCGGATGTGATGAGACATTGTTAACTGGGAGTGGATGTTAAGCCAAACTTGGGGAGGACTGATAGAGAATGGCAGAGGGGAGAGAGAAAATATTTCTTAGAAGTACATTATTTACAAAATAATCAAGTGAGAAAAACACGGTATAATGAAAGAGCAAATAGGCTTCCAGATGGTTCTCTGACATACTAAGGGTGGGAAGAGAGCTCCTGTATGTACCAGATGAGGCCAGGCATTTCTAGCCATGTAAATTTGGCCTTCTCAGATCCCCCTCTCCCACTCCCCCACCCTTGTGATTAACTGATCTTCTAGGGTAAGATTTTAAAGGACGGTGAGATTATAGGGACGCAGATTTGAAACTGGGATGCAGGTCATATCTTATTTCTGGAAAGTTCTAGTTAGGCATCAGATTCTGTTGGGGAAGTTGTTTTCTATGTGTTAACACACACATCTCCCACCCCCATGAAAACCAGTTGCGTCAAATCAGAATACATTTGGAAGCCGCGAACATTGGAACATTTTTCTGGCTTTTGGACACAGGAGAAGAGCAAAGACAGACAGACGCTGGCTTGACTCGCTCTGTGGTCTTTTGTAACAGGAGAAGAGGAAGATGCCTGGGGTTCCAAATGGAAACATCTGCCACATAGAACCAGAGCCACATGGGGGCCACAGCGGGCCAGAGCTTGAACGGACGGGGCGGTAAGTTCTGAGCCGCTGCTCACTGGTGCTGCTCACTGGCAGACCCCGTGTTAAGGAATGAGGCACCCTTGTCTGTGGTTGAATTTCAGATGGGACCATCTACTGTACATAGTACGGGTGTGTCTAATATTGTATTCATTCATTCAGGTTTTTTAAACCATTTATTATGTTCTGCCTGTCCTCTAGTCCTTCCTAGATCTTGTTTCCTCTGATGTGAACACAGCCCCTTCCCCTTCCTCATTTCCTGGTGTTCCCCACTCATCCTTTGTCTCTACTTAGATACCAATTCCTTTGTGAAGCCTTCTAGTATTCTCTGTGGCTAAAATGACATACTTCTGCAGTATTGATCTTAAACTCCCCTCTTAACCTCCCCTTCGTTATAGACCATATCATACTTCATTATTATTCCTTGTGTGTGTGTGTGTGTGTGTGTGTGTGTGTGTGTGTGTGTGTGTGTGTGTGTGTATCCTGCTAGACTCTTGACTCCAAAACGTCAAATACTGCACTGTGTTCCTGGCACTCAGCACAGTGCCCAGTGTCAAGTAGACACACTATCTGATGAATGAATACTTTTAGCATGGTACCTATGTGCAGCATGGAATGGACAAGGGATGAGTAAATGCTGGGTCGTCATTTTAGGATGAGAAACCCGCTGAGGGCAGGAGGATGGGTGTTACATTAGATGTCCGTGAGGGGAAACCTACAGTTCTAGGCCGTTATTTTAGAGACAGGTGTCCAAGGCAGAGGTCCTACCTATGGTAGGTGAAGGTAACTAGTCCACAGACTAGGAAGTTCATTTCCCAGGTAGGAGAGAGATTAAGAGGATGACATGAGGCACTGGTGTGGGAGAGGCTGGGACTGGTTCTAGATGTTGTGTTTTGTCTAAGAGGATCCAGTGGGTGGGGTCCTCAGGGCTGGACGCATCGTGGAGATGATTCTCACGCCATCCCCTTGGCTTGTTCCTCTTTTCTGGAAGCTCAGGTGATTTTGTTTAATTTTTTAATATAGTGCATGATTTATTTTTCTACTCTTAGAAATTTATGGAGAAGTCACAAAGGGAACAGAGAAATGGGGGGGTGGGAATGGCCCTTAATTAGCACTGTCCTGATGGAGGAGTACGTTTTTCTGGTTGAGAGGATGTTTGAAAGTAGCTCCATTCTGGGATAACATAGGCAGAAAGGAGAAGCCTTGCATGGAGGTAGCTCTCACTAAAGGGAGCAGCAGCCTAAGAAAGAGTCGAACTGGTGTCTGGTGGCAGTGAGGGGAGCATCTGGAGAGAGGCTCCAAGGCTGAGGCTGTCCCGGAGGAGGCAGGGTCTGTTTCAATGTTTCAGTGTATCTTTTTGATGTGTAAGTGTATCTGTACCCAGGCATAGTTGAAGCCATGGGGTTGAGGCCACAAGGTTTTCTCTGAGGAAATAGAACATGAGAATCACGGCTTAAAGTCAGTCCCGTGTGGGGCTTTGGGCCACCGTTAGATTGGATTTCAACAGGTATAGGATCTTGGAAATAGTATCCGATTTTCCCAAGGAAAACACCCTTATCCCAAACCCAATGATCTTAACTCACAAATGCAAGCAGGATTGGGAAGAGTCTGCATGTTTCACATAGCAATGGATATGACAATGCTCAGAGAAAGCTGTGGCCTAAGTTCTGCTTGGCTGTCCTCTTCCTGAGCTGATGTCATCCTCAGACGACCTAGGGAAGGGCAGCAGGGCCATGGCCTTCCTGTCACGGTAGCCTCTCAGGCCAGGTGACCCACTGCCTCTGTGAGAAATCCCAGTTCCAGGCCAGCTCTGGCCCCTAGACCACTTCTAACTATGTCAAAGGTGAGTGTGGACCCTGGATACGTTAAACGTCTCTGGAGCTTTCTGGACTGCAAGTCACAAAACACAGTTCTAATTCTTCACACCATTTGAATGCAGATGTCTTCTTCTGCATATCATGTTGTAGAACCCTGAGGCCAAACGCAGAGACTTAGGGACAGTTCTCATGCTGGGTGAAGAGGTGTTGGAGATGAGGTAGAGTGGAGTCTAAGGAACAGGAAGTCAGTGGGAAGCACTTGGCTGCGTTCTGTGTTTCCTGACCCTCTGAGCCAGGGTTAAGACCGTGTCATGAGGCATCCTGATGTTGACTCAGGTGGGCTATCATGTAATGAAACAGAAAGTGTGACTGGATGCTTCCTAGCAACCCAGAAGCTCTACAGCAGGATCCTCTGGGAAGGGGCTTTTGGGGTAAATTAATAACCCGTATTTGGGGAGCACATTTTTGGGAAGGAAGGGTTAATGAAAAAAAATCCAGAGCTGCTGTCTCGATGATCCCCCCACACTTCAAACAGGTTTCTTTCAAAGCACACCAGACAAATGGATGGCTGGCCTGTTCCTAAAGCCCTCCAGGGAAGGGTCCCCTAAGTCAGTGGTCCAGAGCCTAGTGACCCTCTCCACGGGTAAGTCTGTTCTTGCATCAAGCTTCAATTCATATCTCTGTGTGCCTCTGCCCCAAACACTGAACATCAAGGACCGTGTTGAAGGGAAAGGAAATTTCAAATATGAAGAGAAGCATCCACGTCTAATTAATGTCTGCATTACGGTCTGATTTTATGCATGAGTGAGGTATGGGGCTGACTCTAAAAGAAGCAATCAGAGTTGGCTGGTGGGTGGCGCACACCTTTAATCCCAGCACTCGAGAGGCAGAGGCAGGCGGATCTCTGTGAGTTTGAAGCCAACCTGGTCTACAGAGTGAGTTTTAGGATAGCCAGAGCTACGTAATAGAGAGACCTTATCTCAAAAATAAAAGAAGTAATCAGAATTATTCATAGTTTTTAGTGATGCTGTTAGTGTGACCCTGGCCCGCCTCTCTCAAGCATTACTAGGCGGATGTCTTCTGTTTCATAGAACATGTCTGTTGTTTACCTCCTGTGCCCAGAGGATGGCCACTGGGGGAGCGTCTCAAGGAGCCTCAGTGAGCTGTAGAGATTCTTTTCCCTTCAGAGGGAGGTTGTTGGTGAAAGGTGTTGAGTTCCTGGCACAGGACCCTGTTGTAGGAGGACCCTGAAACAGTTGTATAATGTCCCAGATTAGTCATGGCCACCGCAGAGGTCCCTGAGGGTCTTTGTACAGAGAGAGCAAGACAAAATGGCACCCTGTTTTGAACAGGTCTTTGGTCCCAACCCAGAGGCTGACCTTTGGTGATGTAGGCTGGCTCCTGGAGATAGCTCCTTTGCCTGAGCTGGTTTGTGATACATGCAGATGCTAAAGCAGGTCCTGGGGGTGGCTTTCCTGTCCCTTCTTAAGACCACAGACAGATGGTGATGTTCCTGGTATAAATGGAGGAACAGTGCCACAGCCAGAGGAGAGGGCGAGTGGGGGGTTCCCACCCTGTGTCCTTTCTCACCGCACCCTCAGGGCCTGAGTGGGGCAGGGTTGCCTGGCTTGTCCCCTGGGTGTAGGTCCCGACCTCTTCACAGTTCCCTAGCTCTTAGGACGAGAGGCAAGGGTCAATCACACTGCCCTCCAATAGAGAAAATGGTTTTGTTGTTGTAGTTTCCTTATGAGAAAATTCTAAACTTGTGAAGAAGAGTTAATTATATAATGGTCCCCCAGATACCCACCAGCTGTTACCAACATTTTGCCAATTTTGTTTCATTTATTCCCTCTCACTTGTTTTTATATTTTCTAGATTATTTTAAACTATATCATCGATATCATTTTTCCTGTAAATACCTCAGTATGTATCTCATTTAATAAGGATGTTTCAAAAACAATTATGCTGATCTCAAGTCTAACAAGATTAACCATCTTTCTTTAAATTATCCAGTGCTCAGCCCATGTTCATTTTTCTTGAGATTATTAACATCTTTTGGGATTTTATTTGTTGATGTAGGATCCAATCAAAGTTTGCATTTATTAGTTCCTGCCCTAAAACACCCCCTATTCCTTTCCTCCCATCGCCCCCCCCGCCCCATGCCATCGATCTGAAGCTAGGTCGCTGTGGCGCTAAGGCTCCACTCTGAGGAACTGACTAGCTGGGGCCGTGTTCCTCCTCGGTGTGTGTCTTGCTCCTCATTGGCCTCCTCTGTGAGGGCCTAAAGCTGCCATGGAGTCCTGCTGATTCTCCCCAGTAGCCCTTGAACCCACCGCCTCCCCTCAGCTCAGTCCACACTGCCTTCACACTGCCGCAGGGTGATGATTCTAGAGTGCATGTGGGTGCTGCTGCTCCGCCGTTTAAAACCCGTCAGTAACTTGACACGCTGTGAGGAGTAGGCTCCAGTTCGCAGCCCCTGTGACTCAGTTTCCCCAACCTTGTCTTTTCCCTTGTGCTGTTGATCTCTGCTCGCACCTTGAACCCTGGGGTGCCCCAGTGCTGGTCCCTCTGCCTTGTCTGGCTGTCTCCCCGTCCTTCCTGCTGAGTCGCTGCTGAGATGCCCCTCCCCAGCCTGTGCTACCACAGCACCCATTGTCACCCTTTGCCTGTCTCCTGCACTGGGCTGCTGGTCTTGGAGAGCAAGGGCTGTGTTTGTCTTGCTCCGTGCTGTGTGTCCAGTGCCCGGCCCCGTGCCTGGCACTGGCTGTCTTCTGCTTGTCCAGTGCATGAGTCAGTGGTTCCACAGAGACTGAGGCAGGGGGCTGCTCAGAGTGGGAATGTGCATGCATAGTGCTTTATACCTGGGAAACCCTAACAACACCAGTAACCTGAGCTGCTTTTCACGATTCCTCCTAACAGCTTAGAGACTGAAACTGAAGCTAAGGTTTGCCTTGTTGTTAATTATGGATATTGATAAATGGGCAGTATGCATACCTAAATTAACCTTTTTAATGCTTGGTACATTTTCAATTTTACCATATGCCATACCCTTGATTATAACAGAGTCTGTCTGTGCAAAGAGACGTGCTTGGGGTGAGGTTGGAGCTGAACTGTCACGAGCACATCTGCAGTATTCAGATGTGTTCTGCGCTGGGTCCTCGGAAGAGGACCGTGTTAGAGGCCTGACGCCCTGTCTCTGCAGGCTGTTTGGGGGCTTGGTGCTGGACGTCAAGCGGAAGGCTCCCTGGTACTGGAGTGACTACCGGGACGCGCTCAGCTTACAGTGTCTGGCCTCCTTCCTCTTCCTGTACTGTGCCTGCATGTCACCTGTGATCACCTTTGGGGGACTGCTGGGAGAGGCCACTGAAGGACGCATAGTAAGAACTTTTCATCATCTCTAATGGCCCAAGACAAGACTTCAAATCTTGTGGTGGCATCCAAGTTCTCTGGGGACACCTCACGTAGTCAGTGCTGAGGAGACGGGGTCCTTTGTCCTGAGTGACTGGGTTTTCTGACCTACGGAGGAGCCCAGTTCTGCCTCCCACGCATATACCTTCTGCTTGTACGTCACTGTTAATAGCTGGTTGCCTAGGTGAACTGCTCATTTCCCCAAGAATGGAAAATGGATCCACTGATAACACTGGAAAACAAGATTCAGTGACCCTGTGGGATAGGATGTTGTATAGACATTGTGCCTTTATATATATCTTTGAATACCGAACTGAGCTGAAGGATAAAACTTAGTTGAGGAATCATGAAAGATGGATTGGGTACCTGAATTGTTAAAGTAGTGTTTGTTTGCGAGAGCTTTAGGCCCTGGGTACCCCCACTCTTGCTTAGAAGCAAATGATTGTCTAGGCATGGAGCAGCTGAGTCAGCGTAGGGAAGGCAGCTCCTGTCTGTGGACGGCCGTGGACTCTGATTTTTTTTTCTCCTCCTCAGAGTGCAATTGAATCCTTGTTTGGAGCGTCCATGACGGGGATTGCTTACTCCTTGTTTGCTGGGCAGCCCCTCACCATCCTGGGGAGTACTGGGCCAGTGCTCGTGTTTGAGAAGATTCTGTTCAAGTTCTGCAAGTAAGACATTGTTTTCCTGACGGTTAATGGACGTGGCTGCCACCTGCCAAAGCTGAGCAGCAGCTCCCTACAGGCCCACAGCAGACACAAACCTGAGGGGTGGGAGTCTCTGGCCTGCCATCCTTCCACAGTTCATGTAGCCGCAGGCCTCCTCCTCTCCAGAGCCTGCTTAGTGTCTCCTCACCATTACTGAAAGTCTTTACATCTTTAGTCTCTTAGATTTATCAGTTTTGAGATGTGTGTTTATGTATTGTACGTGTACAAGCATTTTGCCTGTGTGCATCGTGTGCACAGTGCCGATGGAAATCGGAAGGGACATTGGAGCCTCTGGAGCTGGAGTTACGTGTGGATGTGAGCCACCATTTGGGAGCTGGGAATCAAACCTGGGTCCTCCAGAATTGCAGCCAGTGCTCTTAACCATTGAGCCATCTCTCCAGCTGTTTATTTTGAGCTAAGGTCTCTTTGTGTAGCCCAGGTGACCTTGTGCTCACATTCCTCTTGCTGTGATCTCCTGAGTACTGGATTGCAGGCTGCACGGCCATGCCCAATATCCTAACTGACGCAGACTCCCTCCCTTTTATGTTTTAGGACAATTTTAAATTGGGTCTACTGTCCTTTCTTCTTATTGTTTGTGGATGGTGCTGGGGCCTAGCGATGCTCTGGTTTCCACCCTAGAAGACCATTTTCCCACGTTGTAGACACTCACGGGACCAGAGCCAGCCTCTTCTTCTCTTTGCACGACCTGCTTATAATCACATGGGTGGTGACGGCAGAAATCCTGCACACACAGTGTTTTCTTCCTTCTCTGTCTTTACCCTGCAAGCAGCTCCTGTGAAGATGTTGAACAAGCCGTCCCAGGGCTTTGCTGAGGAGTGCAGTGCATGCAGTGTGTGCAGCCTTAGGGACAAAGGGTTGCAGTGCTGGTGTGGATATGCTGAGCTGAATCAGCCACAGTGTCTGTCTGTCCCTCCCTGCCTCCCTTCCATGTTTGTTCATGAGCTTCGGTGTCTTCCAGGGACTATGCCCTCTCGTACCTGTCCTTGCGAGCCTGCATCGGGCTGTGGACTGCCTTCCTGTGCATCGTCCTTGTGGCCACTGACGCCAGCTCCCTCGTCTGCTATATCACTCGCTTCACTGAAGAAGCGTTTGCCTCCCTGATCTGCATCATTTTCATCTATGAAGCGATAGAAAAGCTGATTCACCTGGCGGAGACCTACCCCATCCACATGCACAGCCAGCTGGACCACCTTAGCCTCTATTAGTAAGTATGTTTCCTGCCTTTCTTCCTTTTCCTTTTGTTTTTCACTTATAGAATTAGGAACTTTCTGTTTACCAAGGCATGGTAATCAAGTAATTTACGGTTTCATGTTTGACAATGTAGTACATGTATTGAGTAATGCATCTCGATCATGTTCGCCCCAATCACTTTCCCTCATACTCCTCCACCCTGCCACCTTCCACTGATGCTTTTCTTCTGTCCAACCAGTCTTCCTCCTCCTTTTACATCTTCATGTGTGCGTGTGCGTGTGTGTGAGTGTGCGTGTGTGTGTGTGTATGTCTGTGCATGTGTGTGTGTGTGTGTGTGTGTGTGTGTGTGTGTGTGTATGTCTGTGTGTGCATGTGCCTGTTTGTGTGTGTCCCATTGAGTTTGATTGGGGTTGCTTACATGAGCACAGGTGGTGGGAGTTGTTTACAAGAACACAGACCTTTTGCCAGTGGTTAGACCACTGAAGAAATCGTCGCCCTTTTTCTAGCAACCTCCCGTTTTGTTTGGCATAGTCTCTTTGTTGTTTGACACTGTGTTCTAGTGAGCTGACCTGCAAGGTTCCAGGTCCTCTGTCTCCACTTTGACCTACATCGTAGGTGTGACGGATTGCAGCTGCACACGGCATTCCTAAGTGTCTAATTCTAGAGATTTAAACTCAGGTTCTGTGTTTGCTCAGCAAGCGCTTTGCCCACTCAACTGCCTTCCCAGCCCTGAAATTGGCTTTTAAAAACAAAAACCTAAGTGTGGTTTTGAGGCTTCCTTCTGGTGAGATCTGCGTCTTAATTCTGTTATAAAAGGAAGGCCTGGCTTCTGGTTGTCCAGGTGAAGCCAAAGCGGCGAGGGCAGCTGCCAGCCTGCTGATGCAGAGCCTGCTGAGGTTGGGGGCAACATGGTGGCCTGCGGACACCAGGACACCACGTCTCACCTGGATGGATGAGGGAGGGAGGGACGGAAGGGGCAGTGGAGCAGCTGGAGGAGGCAGGAAGTGGCTGTGCAGGGGACTCACTCCAGGAGGGGCATGATGGCGGCCTGGGAGTCCGGGATTGAGACTGGAAGGAGTTGTTGAGAACTGAGTGGAGCATCGGGACCTCCTCTCTGCTGATTGATTCATAAAAGAGCTTAAGAGGTAGAAACCAAACAAGGAAGCGCTGGTCTTAATCTGGGCTTATCACATGCCAGGCGAAGGTTGTCCACACTATTTTATCCAAGACCCACATGCTGACTGGGTTGGACACATCTTTAGTCATGACCAACTGAAAATTCAGAGTGTGGTTGTGTTGATAAGTTGTCTTCAACCAATAGGACCCATCTCCAAGATCTGAAGTTTATGAGAAAGAAAGGAGGAAGGCTCCCACAGAGCCCTTAACCTAGCCATTGCTAAGAGCACTTAATAATTAGCTGGCTGCTTCTGGTTAGGAATGTTTTCCTCTTTCCCTAGCTGCAGGTGCACGCTCCCGGAGAGTCCCAACAACCATACTTTACAGTACTGGAAGGATCACAACATTGTGACTGCAGACGTGAACTGGGCAAACCTGACTGTCAGTGTAAGTCTGGGCGTGGCCTGAGCCCTCTGTTGTGACCACTGGGGCTATGAAGGACTTCTAGATGGAGGTAGAGTGGCCCTTTGCCGGACCCTGGCATTTGAGCTTGAGCTGGATGTAGCGGCACACACCTATAGTCCTGGCCCTTGGGAACATTTTGTAAGTTTAAGGCCGTCCAGGGTTGACGGAGGAGACCCACCGGGGTCTTGAAAAGGGCCACTTTGATCATGCCGGCAGTGACTGTGCGGCCTGGGCCTGTTATCAATTAGCTCTGTTTCATCATATTGATACACTTATCCATTTCTTTGCCTTTATCATGCTAAAACTGCTACATTTTATTTATTTATTGATCTCTGTATCGCCCTTAGTGGCAACAGTTAGCTGATACACATTTCTGGAAGATGAACTCAAAAATCACCTTCTTTTGTTTATTTTTGAAAACTGCCTTGGAATTTGTATGAGTTTATAAGTGATGGAAAACACTGGTATATTTTTGTGATGGTGTATGCACCTCCAGTAACGGGGGTTTCCCTGAGATCCTTCAGATGACTGCCAGGTTCTGAAGTGCTACAGTTCCCATCGTGTGCTTGTTTCTATCAGAGTTTCTCCACAGCGCTTGGAGAATCTGCCACTGATGACAGTGACCGCTTTATTGCATTTCTCTGTTTTATATGAACAGGATAGCTGATTTTCATTAAAAAAAAAACTCACAAAAATGAATGAAAGAGTAAACACAAAAGCTTAATCAAACCTAAATATTTCTAACTTTTCTTTTCCCTTTCTGAAATCCTCTCATACTTTCAGGGAAAAGAAAGCTGCTCCCTTCTTTTCTTCCACATATGCCCCGTCCTGTGACTTGGGGACATGTGAGGATAAGATTATGTGGGGACAGTGACAGATCCAGGCTTTGTGGAACTTGAAGAATATTCAACTTTCAAAGGGTCTCTATAATACAAATAATATCAACTTCTAAGTTCTTCCCAGAGCCTCAGAAGAAGTGTTTGTTTCGGATAGTTCTAACTTCATGCCTAAGTGTATGGGTTAGGACCACCAGTGTTCCTGACAGGGACCTGCTAGTGAGGGCCCTAGCTGCATGGTGGTCAAGTGGATAGTGCTGGAGGCCTGTGCTTCCCGCAACCGTGGGATGGCAGTGCGTGGTGACCTCAGGAAGCAGCTGTTTGTCCCCGTGTGCCCGCCTTTTGTAACCCAGAATTGCTGTTCCTCCAGGAATGCCAGCACATGCATGGAGAGTTCATAGGGTCGTCGTGTGGTCATCATGGACCCTACACTCCTGACGTGCTCTTCTGGTCCTGCATCCTCTTCTTCACCACCTTCATCCTCTCAAGCACCTTAAAGACATTTAAGACGAGCCGCTATTTCCCGACCAGAGTAGGTAGCTGCTCCTACGTTACTTTTGTGTTAGGATTCTGCCCTAGAGATTGGCAGCATGAAGGGCGCCAGCTGTCCTGAGGAGCTGCACGGTGGTAGGCGCCTCGGTAGCCTCTTTCTCAGCTCCATGGTATGGAATGAGGATGCTTAAAACCTTTTTGATTGAAAAGGGCCAGGTAAGTTGAAGGTGGTGGTGATGTCCTCTGAAGGTTACGTCTCTCCAGAATGCTGTTGAAGTTCATGTCTGGGATTCTGAGACACTTGGGATGTAAAACTAGAGCAGGCTTGCTGGAGAGATTGGCTTTATGTGCTTTAAAGGACCCCAAAGCCCCTTCCAAGGTGTGGTTCCTGCCATAGATTACGAACCCCCTGGCTGCAGGAACCAGCCTGTCCCTGGCTTGGATTCCTTTCCTGACCATCTGAAGCCTCAAGAGCTATTATTTATGTCATGATCAGGGTCTCTGCCAGTTCAGACAGCAGAATTAGAAGCCTGAGTTTGAGCAGCTGTGTGGGTCATGGCTTCTGTGAGGTCTCTCCTTCAGGCAAATCCACACACCAGACTACTTGAATTTGTGGGTGGAGGGCTCGGTTGGTTACTTACCATCTACATATCCATGGCTAAAATCCATCCCTAGGCCTTAGTGAGTCCGCAGCGTGGCTGAGGGAAGCACATAATAAATAAGTTCACATCCGTTTCCTGTCCGGACAAATAGTTAACAAGTGGCTGCTACATACTGACCAGTGGCTCACGCCTGGGTAAGTGCCGTGGGGGACACAGAGTTAAAGATATCTGCAGGGCCAGTGAGGCGCTCAGTGGGTAAAGACTCCGCTGCCAAGCCTGATGACCTGAGTTCGATCCCTGGGACCTACATGGTGGAGAGAACAACTTCTTCTGTCTCCGTGTGTATCATGGTGTGTGTACGTATACACAGAATAAATAAGTAAATAAAGACTTTTAAAAGTAATTCAAAAGTAGTGTCTTCCAGTGGATATGAAGGGAAAGTCCAGGGGGCAGTTGGTCCCATCTACCTGGAAAGTTAGTGCCGTAGGAATTCAGAGGAAGAAGGAAGATGTGGTCCTCGGGGTCAGGGGGGTCAGGGTTGTTTCATGGTGCAGGTATGGGCATGAGTCTTCAGAGACTCCATGGAACAGTCGGGGATTAACAAAACCCTGGAGAGTGTGGCAAATCTGAGACATCAAAGCAAAGTTAGTAGGGATGATGTGTGTGGCCAAGATGTCTTTACCTCCTCCCTGTGGGAAGCTGAGACCAGGGTGCTCGTCCCTATCTTTTATTAAAACTCACCTAGGCTCTAAAATGGGGTGGTCCTCCTGGGACAGGCTGTAAAATGGATGGGAATACATGTGCGCACACACATACATACACACGCACACATAAGCACATGTATACATACACACACACCACACACACATGCACACACATGCATGTACATACACACTACATGTACACACCACGCACATGCACACACAATACACAAGCTACACACTCTACACACACACACACACACACACACAGAGGAAATAAGCACTACTGAAAAAATGCAGCAGGAAAGAAGTGCTGGGGGCAGTGGCGGGTTTTCAGTAGGACCGTCAGGTGTCAGCGGTGCTGAGGGGACTTGTCCCGCACGGCCACTAGCGTGAGGAGTTTCAGTTAAAGCCAGTCCTTGGCTACACCACAGAAAGAATTTCAGACAAGCCGGAGTGAAGAAGATCGGAGAGTTTATGTAACATGTTTAGACAGGGTCATGTAGGGAAAGGACATACACACTGAAGACATGCAGAGTCACACTTGGGGCTTTTAGGGGCGTGTGTATGATTTTGTGTTTTTCTAATTACTATGTACTAAGTACCATTCTAGTTACTATGCTCACAGGATGTCATTTACAGCAAGGTTTGAGGATGAAGCTTAAAAATTAAGTAAGAACGTATTCTGTCTCTGGGAGCTGGCTTCATCAGCAGCGTGCTTGCCTTGCGAACATGAGGCCACGGTGGGAAAAATCACAAACCCAGGGAAGAATTTCCGGTGTCACGGCACACATGTGTGATTCTAGTTGTCGGGAGGGGAGGAGACTGATCTCTGGGGCTTTGCTGGCTGTCACTCTGGCCTCATTGGTGAGCTCCAGGCTCCCTGTCTCAGGGGAGATGATGGTGTTCCTAAAGGTGGTACCCAAAGGTGACTCTGGTTCTCCACACACTTGTGCACACATATGCATGTGTGCTCACACATGTGTGAGTTCATAAACAAACAAAACAACCAACAAGCTGGTTTACTTAAAAACTCTCTGAAAGAAAGTAGTTTTTCTTTTGTCTGAGATTGTGCGGTCATCCTGACGTGTGCTGACACAGCCACACTCAAGGCCTGAGGAAGGACTGTCTTGTCTCCACGTCTTCAGGAAGACAAGCACCGTGCAGGCAGATCCAGAGTGGGCACCCTCTCCCTTCCCAGTCCCCTTGGAGTCCCTGTCTTTTTGTCCTGTCTCAAGAAAATCTCAGAAAGAAGGTCGTGTTTGAGTTAAGCTGCAGGGCCTTGGGGAGTTCCCAGAGATCACCTGACATGAACGGAGGGAGGGAGGTGAGCAGTACAGAGACTCTGAGCGGGAGAGAGCCGGGCTGGCAGAGCATGAGAGAGCCACGCTCAAGGAAAGCAGGGCAGGGAGCCCGTGTGGCTGGAGCAGCGTGAACAGGTGGGACAGCTCTGGAGGCTCCGTGCACCTCACGGGGAGGAGAGGGTTTGGGGTTTTGAACTTGGTGAAACAAGGAGGCCTCTTGGGGTTTGGGCAGAAGGGCATGATTCAACCTGGCTTTTAGGTTATTACTCCAGAGCTTTTGTTTCAAGAACACTGGAGGACAAAGGTGACCCCAGTGAGAGATGGCAGTGACTATGGCTGAGTGTGGGCACAGCTGCGGTGACGAGTCATGCTCAGGTTCTGGGTATGTTCTGAATGGCGGCTGATCGGCCTGTGGATGGATTGGATCCAGGATGTGGGAAGGGCGTGAAGGTGCTGCTGAGATTTGGGCCAGCACAGGCGACCTCGGCTGGACCCAGATCTGAATCTGAGCCTGTGCACCCCAAACTCTGCTCTTTGGAGACTGGTCTTGACTATGTTAGACTTGGTCAGAAGTTTGTTGTTCCATATTACACACACATTGTGGGCATTACTTTCAGTACACTAAAGTAGTCTTGTCTGAATGGTTTTGTATTAGTTCAGCTGCACAGTGTTTTTCTGGGAAACCGTAGCTCTTTCGGGTCGTAGCATCTCTGCTGTGGTAACTGCTCTGGTTCTTTCTTGTGCTAGGTCCGCTCCATGGTGAGCGACTTTGCCGTCTTCCTCACCATCTTCACAATGGTGATCGTTGACTTCTTGATTGGCGTTCCGTCCCCAAAGCTTCAGGTTCCCAGCGTGTTCAAGGTAAGTAGTCTCAGGAGCCCGATGCCTGAGTGTAGGCTGATCCGACGGGGGTCTCAGAGGTTTAGGAAGCCAAATGCATTGTGTGTTATTATGAGTACGTGCCCTGCTAAGCTCTAGGGGATGGGAAGTGCCCATTTACATAACGATGTGCTGGCGTGGAGCGGTGGGCCCGGGAGCACACTTGGGTGACTCCACCTTCACAGAGCTGCAGCTGTAAGGAATTGGGAAGGAGTAGAAATGACCTAAGACCTAAGAAGTCATCCGGACATCTCTTCAGCCGTATTTTATGTTTAGTTATTTATAATCCATAGTAGTTTAAAAACTTACTTGTAGACTGAAGTAATGATCAATCATTGGGATCCCAAATCCATCTTAGTGTAATAAGTAGATGAGACAGGGGAGCTGAGCTTAGTTCCACAGACCCTCATTGGGTGGAGAGTCAGAAAGCCTGGGTATGCTCAGCTCCTTCAGAAGACTCCAGAATAGGAGGGGCTGAGGATGGGCAAAGACAGACAGTATAGAGGCAGTCCTTGGTGCTCCATGGTGCACGCCTTTAAACCCAGCAGTCAGGAGCCTGGGGCAGGCGGATCTCTGTGAATCTGTAGGCCAGCCTGGGCTACAGAGTGCGTTCCAGGCCAGGCAGGGATGCTCCATGGTGAGTGACTCTGCATCTCCCTCACTGTCTTCACAATGGTTGTCAGGGGACACATTGTCTCTCTCCCTCTGTTTTGTCTGTTTTTCTATTTTGTCTGTTTAATTTTGTTAAACTTGCTAAAATGCTGAATGGGTTGAAAAACACCCTCCAGAAGTGTAACACCTCCCAGAGCACGGTGTTCTTATCCCTGTATGAACAGACACCATCAGCTTTCTCTCTAATTCCTAGCTGGCTGCAGGACAAATGGATTTTGTATAAAAAATGGCAAATTTGGAGCATTAAGCAGTCTGGGAAAGTTCCATGATGCACAGACTTAAGACCTGAGTTGATTTCTGGGACCTCTGGGAGGCAGGGGAAGACAGGGAGGGAAGTAGAAGACCAAGGAGACATGGCTGGTGTGGACCGCCCAGGAAGCAGAGCAAGCCATCTCCTGCCTTCGCTCCTTAACCAGCCAGTCCCAGCTCCCGAGGCCAGACTGAAGGCTGGCGTAATCACTTCTTATCCATTGGGGATTAGTTCCAGGACCCAGGGTACAGATGCCCCATTCCAGAAGGGAAATGCTATATTTACGTACAACCTGTGTGCAAGCTACTTTGTACTTAAACCATCTTAGACCGATTTTATCTACAGCAGTGTAAGTGGCGTTATCCTGTAGTATTTAGAGACCAGTGGCATTCGTCTGAATGTGTCTAGCACAGCGGCATGTCCTCAGCATCTTTAATCTGCGGTTGATTGAGTCTGCAGGTGTAGAATGAACCGGTAGATTTAGCAGGCCTGGCTGTGTGATTGCTTATGATATCAGTAATGCGTTAATAGGTTTCTGTGTTGGTCTGAGAACGTAACTGCTACCTAAGACTGCATAGCCTCTAAGCATAGGTTCTAAAGCTTTTAGAATTTATTTAGCCCATTCAAAATCCAGGACTTGCCAGTGTTATTGAAGAGTTCTTTAACCTGAGTGTCGTATCTAATGTAGCAACCAAATGCTTCTGATTCAGCAATCTCTCGCTTACTTGCTGCGTTTTGGGGTCATTCTGGGTGATAGCCTTTTGTCCTCCAGCACCATTTGTCTTTTCTCGGAGTGCACCAAGGGTGAGTGAGATTGAGAGTTTGAACAAATGGCTTACAAAGCCACTGAAGAGGGTCCTAGGTCAGCCATCCCCAAGCTTTGGGACTCCTAAGTCTCCAATACCTGGGCTCCCGTTTCACCACTGATGAGGGCACAGGGACACTCTACTCTCAGCCCAAGAGTACACATGGGTCCAGTTGGCTTTTATTTGTACTTCAGACATAGTCCATGGCTCCTGTGAGGAGTGGTAAGGGTCATCTGTGTTACGTACTTTGTCTTGGGAAGGCAGTTTTTTTTAACAACAGATTTAGTTACTGATATATTTACTTGGGGTGATTGTGAGATAAAGTTGCTTTCTCTGCACTTGGGGAGTAAATGGAGGATTAATGAATATTCCACAGGAAGCTGATAAGTGACGACTGACCACTAAGGGGGATTTGGAAAAAAAGGCCAGAGATTTCCTTAGGGGTTGCTGTATTTCATGTTTTGTTTTGTTTTCTAAGGATTTTTATTCAAATGAGAACAAAAAGAAAAGCAGAATAATGATTCAGTTTGATTTGTTTTGTCCAGAGTTAAGACACAAAAATCCAGCTTGTTTTATCTCTTAGCCGACGAGGGATGATCGAGGATGGTTTATCAATCCCATTGGCCCCAATCCCTGGTGGACGGTGCTAGCTGCGACCATCCCGGCTCTCCTGTGCACCATCCTGATATTCATGGACCAGCAGATCACCGCCGTCATCATTAACCGGAAGGAGCATAAGCTCAAGGTAACTGAGTTTCAGACCTGAGGCTGAAGTGGCAGCCTGTTAACCTTCTCACTTAGGCTAAGCCTGGCTATACCAGGAACTGAGCGAAGAAAGTCTCAGAAGGCTTTTCATTGCTTGCCTGTTGATAACAAAGGTTGGTTGGAGGTGAGACCAGATGGAGCATGTGACATGATGTGGGGGGACTTGGACTCCATTACTCTCCTCGCAGACTGGGTAGAGGGGGTGACCAGAGGCCCTGCTGGTCCCTAAATAGCTACATGTTCTGAATCAACAACTATACAGCTTTTCTTCCTAAGGTTCGGCTCAGGGCTTTGGACCTCTGTTTCCCAGAGGCAGGAATTCTTCCATTGAGGTCCATTGTGAAGCTTCAAGGTGAATCTTGAGTTAGGGTTCCTCAGGCTAGGGTTTGTTCTAACTCATGTATTAGTGAGATGCCACATGCCTTCCATCTCTATGGCAAAATCGAGATTTGGCAAGGATGGGAACGGTGTCTAGGAACTCAATAAAAGCATTGTTCTGTAGTTTCTAGGACGGTCACAATGTGGCTTGCTTCCTGCTACTCTTCCAAAGAAGGGTTGAGTTTTGAATGTCTGAAACTCAATCAGAGGAAGCTAGGGGCAACTGTATAAAGACCAGATGTTCGCATATCTATATATATATAGATACACACACACACACACACACACACACACACACACACACACACACACATATATGACAAGCTAAACTTCCCTTTTTCTTATCTGTTCCCTCCAAACTGGGAGGGTTGTAAGCATTCTCTGGACTCTTTCCCCCTTCTACTCCAACCAGCTTGGAGCCTGAAGCCTTTAGCTCACTGTTCCATGACCTACTACAGGCAGCTCACTGAAAGCGACCATTTCCCCCACAGAAAGGCTGTGGCTACCATCTGGACCTGCTGATGGTGGCCGTCATGCTGGGCGTTTGCTCCATCATGGGCCTGCCTTGGTTTGTGGCTGCGACTGTCCTGTCCATCACACATGTGAACAGCCTCAAGCTGGAGTCTGAGTGCTCTGCTCCTGGGGAGCAGCCTAAGTTCCTGGGCATCCGAGAACAGAGAGTCACAGGCCTAATGATCTTCGTGCTGATGGGCTGCTCAGTCTTCATGACGACTGTCTTAAAGGTAATCACTCATCGAGGGCCTTTGTGCCAGGGACCATGCTGGAAATGCAGGGCTCCAGTAAGATATACACAGACCCCGACTCTGGAAGAATTGATTCTATTTTTTTTTTTTTAAGATTTATTTATTTGTTATGTACACAGTGTTCTGCCTGCATGTAAGCCTGCAGGCCAGAAGAGGGTGACATATCTCATTACAGATGGTTGTGAGCCACCATGTGGGTGCTGGGAATTGAACTCAGGACCTCTGGAAGAGCAGTCAGTGCTCTTAACCTCTGAGCCATCTCTCCAGCCCAGAAGAATTTATTCTTGTGGGTAAGACAGTTAAATGTGCTTAAGAAAACAAACATTATAAAATGTAGTAAGTAATCTGATGGACCATTGTCTTGCCGTTTCCTTTTCTTTGAATAGCTCCCTTCATGTTAGAGGTCCAGCCTAGGCCCTTCTGTGTGCAGAGCGCATAGCAATCACCATGTTGCTGAGCTATGTCCTGGCTCTTCTTACCCCTAGCTTTTTGTTCTTGAGACAGGTCTATATGGCCCTGACTGGTTAAAACTCACTATGTAGACTAGGCTGGCCTTGAACTTATGGCAGTCCTAACTGCCTCTGCCTCTGGATGGCTGGGATCGTAGATACGGTTTTAGTATGTTTTTTATTGCTGTGATAAAGACCATGACCAAAACAACTTGGGGAGGAATGGGCTCATTTCACCGTACACTTCCAGGTAACAGTGCGTCACGTAGAAGTAGAAACCACGGAGGAACGCTGTGTACTGGCTCATACTCTGGCCCGTGCTCAGCTCCCCGGGGATGGCACTGCCCACCATGGGCTCACACACTGGCCTTTAATCATACAGTGTCCCACAGGCAGTTCTTACTGAGACGTCCTCTTTCCAGGTCACTCTGAACTTATGTCAAGTGGATAATAAAGACACCATCCAGCAGTGGTACAGACTTGTCCACACACTGGGACGCCTGGTTACACTAGGGCTGGGGCAGCAGAGAAATCCAGTGTGGACTTTCTAACTCTGAGAGGAGTTACGTTGTTCTTATCGCCAGGATAAAAGCAGACTGAGGGACTAGGGCTGTCGAATGCTCTGGATTTCGTCCTCAGCACTAGCGCAGCAGGCGGGTGCTGATGCGGATGGAGGTTGGAAATCCTTCGTACACAGCAAGTTCAAGGCCAGCTTTATCTAAGTTGAAAGACATGATGTGACAGGAAGGCCACAGTCACGTGCTGTGTCCACCACCTTAAAAAGCACACAGTATAACAACATGTTCTCAGCTTGTGCCCTCAAATCTTAGGTCAGTAAAAGTGATTTTTTTTTTTCAGTTTGTGTCAAAATACACTAAGTTCCTGAGGAGGTGATGTTGAATACAGAAGATTTAAATTACATCAGTGAAGTATGTGTGAGTGTGTGTGTGTGTGCACCTGTGTGTGCATGTTTGCACTTGACCACAAGTGTGTATGTATGTGTGTATATGTGACTATGAATGTGTACAGGTATACATGTGTTGTGCACATGACCATGAGTGTGTATGCATGTGAGTACATGTGTGTGCGCACATGACCATGAGTGTGTATGCATGTGTATGTGCACATGACCATGAGTGTGGGCCTGTCCCATCTGTGCCCTCATATCTAGGGAGGAGGAAGACTGGCAGAGGGAGAGGCTGGAGGAGACGCGAGGCCCATGACTTACCTGTGGATAACAATTTCATTTCAGAATAAAATGATTTTGATCATCACCAGCTCATCCTTTTGTTTTTACTTTAACTGAAGGAGAAGTTTATGAAACTGTCTGTGGCTTTGTTTCACTTTCAAAATTAAAAATTTATAGAGATGGTACATGGTGGCACACACCTTTTAATCCCAGCACTCAGGAGGCAAAGATTGGCAGGTGTCCATGAGTTCAAGGTCAGCCTGGTCTACATATTGAGCCAAGCCAGCCAAGGCTACACAGTAAGAGTGTCTCAAGAAGAAGAACAGCTAGCGGTAACCCTGCTGGTGCCCCATGTCTTGTCTCCGCCCTTACCTGCAGTTCATCCCGATGCCGGTGCTCTACGGAGTTTTCCTCTACATGGGAGTCTCTTCTCTACAAGGAATCCAGGTATCGTGTGGTTCGGCTGGGCTGTGTCTCTTGCCCTGTGTTCACTTGTCCTGACCAGAGAGGCACAGTGCCCCAAGGGAAGCACAGCCAGTTCCTGAGACAACTTCCTGTCTTGCCATTTGGCCAAGCAATGTCTTCAGATGTGGGGCACAAAACAGGTCAGGCTGGTGTGAGAGTCTTGACCTCCAGAATGACACGGCTTGATGTCACAGTTCTGGTCATTCTTACACAGCGGTTAGTTGGCGTTAAACCAGGGACGCTTTGCCAAATTCTTGTAGACCAGGACCACCGAGGTGGCTCAGCAGGAAGGGCTGACTGCACCAAGCCTGTAAGGTGCTTACTACCAAGCCTGTAAGGTGCTTACTACCAAGC